AACCAACCCCTAATATCCTCTATTGGTAATGGCTGCTCTAAACCCTCTGCACCCTCATACTGAATGTGGCCATTGTAACCCATAGCAACTGATCCTTAACTGTCCTACATTGTTATGGCTGCCTTAAACCTGCCACACTGATTGAGGCCATGGTAACTCAAAGTGGCCAATCCCTAACTGTCCTCCATTGTAACGGCTGCTCTAAACCCACTGCACTGAATGAGGCCATGGTAACCCATAACAATAGATCCTTTCACTGTCCTCCATTGTTATGGCTGCCCTAAACCCTCCGCACCCCCATACTGAGATTGAGGCCACCGTAACCCATAGCAACCAATACATAATCATGCTCCATTGCTCTGACTGCCCTTAAACCCTGTGTGCTTCCTTTGTTAATAAAGCAAAATAAATCCCAATTTCTCGCATAGTCTCACTTCTCTGGTAGGATCCCATATAAAGTCATCGGGCTCCATCTCCCCCCAGGCCTCGCACACAGACACCTTATTGTGTACACACATCTTGGGATTTTGGCAGAACGCGCACCTCGCCTCACCCCGCAGGACACGCTGACAGCAAACACCGCGGTTTATTATAAAACAATTACAAAAATACACGGCTGGCATGCCACCATGTTCATTAACCCCCTGCCTCCCGGAGGGAAACAAACGCCCTGCAAAGAACAGGAACCGGCCGCCGGAGGAACGCTCTGTCCTGAGACCTGCTCCAACCTGAGACCCGCAGAGCATTACTCCAGGCCTGTGTCCTGCAGATCCTACGTTAAAGGAAAACTCCAGTCAAAGGGTTAATTCACCTTTACCAAAAAAACTGCCTATACAGGTAAAAGGCTGTAGATGAAAAAAAAAACTAAAAATTTGAATAAAGTTGGTAATGTCCTTGCTATAGGCGTAGGTGAATTAAGAACCTCCCAAAGCCTGGCCAAATATCTCCTAGAGACGACATTATTCTGTCCTGTCTTGTTGCTAGGACGTTTCTAAGGCACTCCCAGCCATTACTGCTCACCACCACCACAGGAGTGAGCTCTCAAACCTCCATACACGTGTGGTCCACAATCTCCTCCATTGCAGCATCAGAGCTACTGTAACAGGGGAGAGAGAGAGCACATGACAAGGGGTTTGAATCAACTGAGAGTGTCTTAGCAACATCCTAGCAACAAGACAGGATGGGCTGATGCCATTTCTGTGAATTTTTCAGCCAGGCTTTGGGGTGTACGTAAATGGCCTACACCTATAGCAAGGGCATTATTAACCCCTTCGCACCGGCAAAGGGTTTCAGAAGACGGGAGGCGGGGCGGGGTTTAGAGTCATGTGACCGTCGTGACACGCCGTCACATGATCGGGAAAGGTCCCAATCGAAAGAGGAGATCGGGACCTTTCCGTGAGTACCGGACATGTGTGCTGGGTCCCAGCACATTATGTTCTTTTTTAATAGAACGCAAATGTGCGACCGCTCGGTGTCTAGGCCCAGACGCCGGGAGGCTGCACATTTGCGCTCGGCCGGCGTGAAGAGGTTACCTTTAGTCAAAGCTGTACAGTTTGGTTTTATCTACAGACACCCCTTACCTGCATAGGTAGGTTTTGGAGAACGAAGCCGAAAGCAACACATAGTCTACCAAGAGCAACCAAACAGAATCCATTTTGTTTTCCTGAGGTTTCGGTAAAGTTAATCCCTATTGGTTACTCTATTTTGCTCAATTTGCTGCGTGTGCAAAACAGCACGTAAAGCATGCTAAAACAACAAACAACAATAATGGTTGAGATGCCACTTCAGCATGCCTTAAGTGCCTTCAAAGGTGCCATACACGCCAATATGTGTCTATGGCCTCCTCTCTTCACTACATTGCGGTGATCACATTGCGTATACAAGGGAAGGTCCTTTTTGCATTATTGGGACTAAACTTTTTTTTTTTTTAATGGTTCAAGCCTACACAGCTGCTACATGCGAAGGAGGAGTGGCCACAGAGGGGAACAAAATGAACATTCCCGCAGATAACCGGCGGCTTGAGGTATGGAGGCACCTTCTAGGGCAGGGGTCTACAAACTTTATAAACAAAGGGGCAGTTTACTGTCCTTCAGACTGAAGGGGGGCCGGACTGTGAGCATTGAGAGAAGAAAAGGTCCCGACGTCAGTGGGAATAAAAAATGCTGCATCTTTGGTGTTAGTGGGCGGAAAAATGCACCATTTTGAGTGTCATTGTGGCCTCATTGTTGGTGTTATTGGGAGGAATTTTACACCATATGTCATAGGAAGTATTTCTGCCCCTTCATTGGTGTCAGTGGGGGGGAGTGGGATTATGCCTCATTGTTGGTATCAGTGGATGAAAATGGTGCCCCAAGGGCCAGATAAAAGCAAGTAAAGGGCCACAGTTTGGAGACCACTGATCTATGGAAATCATAACGAGTGCTGTAGACGCTCTTTAGAGTTTCTGCACTACAAATGCAGTGCTGGGGACAGATTTGTGTGCCTGCTGGAAACAAGTACATACAGTATCTTCCAGAAGTGAATCCACCCCTCACATTTTTGTAAATATTTGATTCTCTCTTTTCATGTGACAACACTGAAGAAATGACACTTTGCTACAATGTGATGTAGTCAGTGTACAGCTTGTATAATGTAAATTTGCTGTCCCCTCAAAATAACTCAACACACCGCCATTCATGTCTAAACCGCTGGCAACAAAAGTGAGTCCACCCCTAAGTGACAAGGTCCAAATTGGGCCCAAAGTGTCAATATTTTGTGTGGCCTCCATTATTTCCAGCACTGCCTTAACCCTCTTGGGCATGGAGGTCACCAGAGCTTCACAGGTTGCCCCTGGAGTCCTCTTCCACTCCTCCATGATGGCATCAGGGAGCTGGTGGATATTAGAGACCTTGCACTCCTCCATCTTCCATTTGAGGATGCCCCACAGATGCTCAAAAGGGTTTAGGTCTGGAGACATGCTTGGCCAGTCCATCACCTTTACCCTCAGCTTCTTTAGCAAGGCAGTGGTCGTCTTGGAGGTGTGTTTGGGGTCGTTATGTTGGAATACTGCCCTGCGGCCTAGTCTCTGAAGGGAAGGGATCATGCTCTGCTTCAGTATGTCACAGTACATGTTGGCATTCATGGTTCCCTCAATGAACTGTAGCCCCCCAGTGCCGGCAGCACTCATGCAGCCCCAGACCATGACACTCCCACCACCATGCTTGACTGTAGGCAAGACACACTTGTCTTTGTACTCCTCACCTGGTTGCCACCACACACGCTTCACACCATCTGAACCAAATCAGTTTATCTTGGTCTCATCAGACCACAGGACATGGTTCTAGTAATCCATGTCCTTAGTCTGCTTGTCTTCAACAATCTGTTGGCGGGCTTTCATTTGCTTCATCTTTAGAAGAGGCTTCCTTCTGGGACGACAGCCATGCAGACCAGTTTGATGCAGTGTGTGGCGTATGGTCTGATCACTGACAGGCTGACCCCTCACCCCTTCAACCTCTGCAGCAATGCTGGCAGCACTCATACGTCTATTCCCCAAAGACAACCTCTGGATATGACGCTGAGCACGTCCACGCAACTTCTTTGGTCGACCATGGTGAGGCCTGTTCTGAGTGGAACCTGTCCTGTTAAACCACTGTATGATCTTGGCCACCGTGCTGCAGCTCAGTTTCAGGGTCTTGGCGATCTTCTTATAGCCTCGGCCATCTTTATGTAGAGCAACAATTCTTTTTTTTTCAGATCCTCAGAGAGTTCTTTGCCATGAGGTGCCATGCTGAACTTTCAGTGACCAGTATGAGAAAGTAAGAAAGCGATAACACCAAATTTAACACACCTGCTCCCCATTCACACCTGAGACCTTGTAACACTAACGAGTCACATGACACCGGGGTGGGAAAATGGCTAATTGGGCCCAATGTGGACCTTGTAACTTAGGGGTGGACTCACTTTAGACATTAATGGCGGTGTGTTGAGTGATTTTTGAGGGAACAGCAAATTTACATGTTATACAAGCTGTACACTGACTACGTCACATTGTAGCAAAGTGTCATTTCTTCAGTGTTGTCTCTTGAAAACATAGAATCAAATTATCACAAAAATGTGAGGGTGGGACTCATTTCTGTGAGATACTGTAAATCTCTTGCATGGAAGGGGGCGGGACGGAGCGTCCTTACTCCTACCCTTGCCCTTGCTAAGTGCACAGCTTCCCTCACAAGGCTCCCTGGTTGCTATGAAGCTGGCAGCTGCTGGCATCATAGCAACCAATGACTCCTCCCCAGCCCCATTCATCTGCACAGCCGACACAGTCATATCAATGAATGACTTGCCTCCATCCAGCTATAGGCCAGGAGATTCCCTGGCCAGCAGCTGAAAGCAAACATAAGGAGGGGGCTGCTCCTTTGTTTTCTTTCAGCTGTTGGTCAGCAGCTGAATAGGGACAGGGACAAGTCATAGGTTGCTATGACGCCAGTGGCTGCCGGCTTCATGGTAACCATGTGTGGTAAGTTGCCATTTTCATTACAGCTTCCTTGCGTGAAATGCCCCACTGTGAGCACCAGCGTTTCTCTGTGCGCCAATGCAGAGCTGGTGTTAATCACCGCCGGTTTGCTTATCTGCGGATTGGCGCTGATTCTTTTAGAATCTGTCACAGTCATAGCAACGGATTCTAAAAGTGGCGGTAGTAAGAATTACCTGAATCTGGCACATGTGTCGGTACTGGTACCAAAACTGGAGCGAAGCTTTTATGACTTAGGTGCAAGCCATGTTAAAGAGGCCCTAACCCTTTAACATGCCCTCTCCACCCATGTTTTTAAAAACAGGTTCCTCTATAGAGTCATTTTATATATAAATTGTGATGACTGGAGTTCTTCTTTAACATCTTTTCCATCACGTATTACCCATAATCCCAGCATCGATCTGCAGCCCAGGGCTCTATTAACCCTTGCCATTCTGCCCCAGGAAGCTATTGCGGGAAAGTCTCTGCACTCTGCAGTCTCTTGCACTGAATCTCAAAGTTCATCTTTAATTTTTCTAGCTGTTCTCCTCTCTGTTGCCGACCAGAGGGCTTTTCAGGCTCATCATCGTCTGAAGATGTCCGTGACCTTCTGGTCTGTCTTGCTGTCTTGGATTCTTCCTGTTCTTTCTGCTCCTTCAAATTGGTGTCACCTTTTACCAGAATCTTTGCCTGATGTCGTTCCTGTTGGAAGAAAGAGGTGTTGAAAAAGTGGTGTTGCCATATAGGATATACTCATTTGCTAGCAACCATAGCACCAGCCAGTGCCAGAACAAGGTCCTTCAGACAGAAAGGTCAAAGTTTAAGTCTCAGGAAATCCCCATTAATTTAGTAGACCTTCAGCTCATAGTAAATTAGCGGGATAAGTAGGTTGTACAGAGTTTTTATCTACTTAATAATTATGACACAAACCAATAATACTGGTCAGAGACGAAACACAGACGGTGAAAATTGTAGTGCCCCCTTAGAGTGGTAGTCAAGGTAGAAGTGACCACTGACATTGGTGGCCAGTGTAGAAGTGTCCCCTTACACTGGTGGTCATTGTAGAAGTGAACCATTACATTGATGGTCAGAATAGGTAGGATGTCAATTTGCCATGCTCTCTTGTTTGGGAACTCTTAGCAGCCTCTGTAAGAACCCTGGGACTCCACGTAACCCTGGTTGAGAAAGGTAGCTATAGACCCTCTAACATCGTCAGTTGCAGAGTCACATGGGCAGTGTAGAAGTGATCTCCTACAGTGACTGTCAGTGTAGAAGTTTTTACTTACATTGGTGGTCAGTGTAGAAATACATTTTTATATTAGTGGCCAGTGTAGAAGGGACCACTAACATTGGTGGCCAGTGTAGAAGTGACCTCTTTCATTGGTGGTCAGTTTACAAGTGACCTCTTCCATTCGTGGTCAATGTAGAAGTGTCCCTTTACATTGGTGGCCAGTCTAGAAGTGGCCTCTGACATTGGTAGTCATTGTAGAAGTGGCCCCTTCCATTGGTGACCAGTGTAGAAGTGACCCCTTCCATTGGTGGCCATTGTAGAAGTGACTCCTTACATTGTTGCTCTGTGTAGAATAGACCCCCTACCTTTGGTCAGTGTAGAATTGTCCCCTACATCAGAAGTCAGTGTAGAAGTGATACCTTAAATCTAAGGTCAGTGTAGAAGTGACCCCTTCCATTGGTGACCAGTGTAGAAGTGACCACCGACATTGGTATTCATTGTAGAAGTGACCCCTTACATTGTTGCTCTGTGTAGAATAGACCCCCTACCTTTGGTCAGTATATAAGTGTCCCCTTACATCAGAGGTCAGTGTAGAAGTGTCCCCTTACATCAGAGGTCAGTGTAGAAGTGACCCCTTAAATCGAAGGTCAGTGTAGAAGTGACCCCTTAAATCGAAGGTTAATGTAGAAATGAACCCTTCCATTGGTGGCCAGTGTAGAAGTGACCACCAACATTGGTATTCATTGAAGAAGTGACCCCTTACATTGTTGCTCTGCGTAGAATAGACCCCCTACCTTTGGTCAGCGTAGAATTGTCCCCTTACATCAGAGGTCAGTGTAGACGTGACTCCTTAAATTGAAGGTCAGTGTAGAAGTGACCCCTTCCATTGGTAACCAGTGTAGAAGTGACCACCGACATTGGTATTCATTGTAGAAGTGACCCCTTACATTGTTGGTCAGAGTAGGCAGGATATCAATTTGCCACTGCTCTCTTCTAAAGGAACCCCAGGGTTCCACAAAACCCTTGCTATAGAACCCTCTAACATTGCCAGTTGAAGTCACATGGGACAACCTTCCAGGTACCTCTGTAGGATCGCTTACTTGCTGGGCCTGAGCAATACCATCTCTCCCTTGTTAGGGACAGGGCAGCAAGGGAGTGATATCTCACTGGCCTCGCAAGTGAGGGAGCGATTTCCTGAAGACCTGAAGTCCTTCTCTTAGCAATTCTAATACTAAGCGTCAAGATCACCAGCATGACACCATCATTACTGTAGGACAACCTTTTCAACACAAAGGAACCCTTGAAAATAACTTTCCAGTCTCCGGGAACCCCTGGGAAGAATGCTCCTTACACTTGTGGTCATTGAGAAGAATTACCCCCTTACAGGTAACTAAAAAGATCAATGGTGTCAGTGGGAACTTATCTGAGAGGCAAAGATTGCTCATTGCTCAAACTCTGGAGGAACCATAGGGTTCCATGGAACGCTGGTTGAGAAACCCTACTGTAGGAGCCAAAGACACGCCTGCCTCCATGGAATACAGCTGTCTCTATGGAATGCCACAGGTAGAATTCCTGTCCTTGACCCTGAGTTTTGCATTGTGGGAGGAAGGGGAGACAGTTAGGTGCTCCCCCTTACCCAGATGTTTTGGCTTCTACTCAGGGCTCTGGTCGATGAATGGGTGGACCTCCCATACATGCACCATGCTCCATGTTTTCTCACCAGGAAACGTGGTCTGAATGGCTAGCACAAGTTCAGGCTTCTGTACTTATAATTTCTCCTGAGCACCCTCAGCCTATACTGTACTCCAAGTCCTCCCCAAGAATCCAACCAAGGAATTTACAGGTTAAAGAAAATAAGGGAGGTGCCTCCTAAAAAGGGACAGTTGAAGATCTTTTGTGTTGACTTATGCAAGTTCTTGTGTACCTCTGACCCTCAGAAAGGCCGCTGCCATTATCTGTGAGTGACACCTGCGGGCCGCTGCCATTATCCGTGAGTGACACCTGCGGAAGATCCAGGCAGCAATATCCCCTGGAGCAAAATATGAACTGACCCCCTCCCCCATCTCTGGAGCTTTTAGCTTTTGTACCACCAGCCAGAATTTCTTGAGCACAGCTATGTAAATGACTCCAATTATCTCTACCGCAGGAACACGCGCATCTCTGAGCACAATTACTGCAAGCCCTTCTAAGATGCAAAATAACACGACTGTCTGAGCGGAAAATGGCCATTATAAACTTCATTCAAGATGGCAGCCCTCTTCGCGTGTGTCTCCGTATCTACAGCTTGCAACACTATAGGGGGGTATATTTATAAAAAAAAAAAAAAAATGTACGAAAGTGTCACAGCCTTCACAAATAATCCCGTAAATTTACTTTCTATAATCGTTAGCCCCATCTAGTGGCCATAATGTTGTATTTTCCTGAAATAACCCAGTCAGGATGATAGGAAATAAATCCCTGTAATTTTTATAATATGTTTATTTCCTGTTATCTTCAACTCCACCTAGTGGCCGTAATGCAGTAATTTCCTGGTTGGGGGTCTCGTTATTAAAAATTCTCAAGCATTTGCATGGCCATCATGATAAATCCCTGTCATTGTTCTGATATGTTTATTGTGAAGGCTATGCCAATGCTTGAGAATTTTATTATTTTTTATTTATTTATTATTATTTCAGGTACTTATATAGCGCCGTCAATTTACACAGCACTTTACATATATATTGTACATTCACATCAGTCCCCGCCCCTGAGGAGCGTACAATCTAAGGTCCATAACTCACATCCATACATACACATACTAGGGCCAATTTAGACAGGAGCCAATTCACCTACCAGCATGTCTTTGGAGTGTGGGAGGAAACCAGAGCAGGGGCAGACTGACTATTTGGAAACTCGGGCACAGCCCGAGGGCCCGGAGTCAGTAGGGGTCCCCATGAGATGCCCCTGGTACCTTTTTCATACGCTTTTTTGAGTTTGGGCAAGGACACGGGGCCCCCATGATCCCCTATTGCCCGGGGGCCCATGAGTTGTCAGTCCGCCCCTGAACCAGAGTACCCGGGGGAAACCCACGCAGGCACAGGGAGAACATGCAAACTCTAGGCAGGTGGTGCCGTGGCTGGGATTCGAACCAACGACTTAGTACTGCCAGGCGGAAGTGCTAACCATTTAGCCACTGCGCTAACCATTTACCCACAATCCAAAATGGCGGGCACCGTTTATGAACGGCAACCCGCCCCTGCACTGCCACCGTCCGTCCGTTTATATACAGCGGCCGGATGGGAAGTGGTTAAGGGCAGATTCACACTCCATGTGTTTCAGTTGCATTTTTTCTGCATCCAAAAACGCACAGAAAGTAAGTGATATGGTCATCAGTGTCATAGCTCACATCAGTGCTTGCAGTTCCAGTGCGTTCCGGTTGCAGAAAAAAAAAAGTAGCATAGGCTGCATTTTTTTCTGCACAGAACTGTACTGGAACGCAGTAAAACACATAAAAAACGCACCGGAATGCACTGGAACGCACCAGAAACACATACGTCCCTATTTAAATGGAAGAAAAAGAAAAAAAATGAACTGGAATGCATAAAACACACATCAAAAACGCACCGGAACGCGCCAAAAACACGCATGCAAAAACGCATCTGGACTGCATTTCTAGTGTGAACCGGCCCTGAAGCAATTCTTTCCAGGAAGAATAGAAGAGAAAAATAGCCTGTCAATAAATAAAGGGATCTACATAGAGAGAGAATTCTGAGGATGGAAAGGGAGATCTTCAGATAACAGAACAGGTCAGACGGATCGGAAGGTGTTTCCTTGTATCTGTTTCCAGTGTTACCTGCTCTGCGTGTTCCGCTGACTCCGTGAACCACAGCGCGATGGCGCACCGTCTACCCCCGGTCACTGCCCGCACCCCATGGGCATTCTCTCCTCCGGAGCCGTACATCACCAGGCGGCCGCACTGAGGCCGGACCTCCGCCTGTCACAGAAAGAGCGACACCAATCATCAGAAGAGGAAACAGGACTGGTTTATTGGCAACAACGTGCATTCATTAAAGCTGCAGAAGAGAACTAGGAATTGTTATTATTCTATTATTATACAGGATTTATACAGCGCCAACAGTTTGTGCAGCCCAGGGGCGGACTGAACATTCGAGCACTCGGGCACTGCCCGAGGGCCCGGAGTCAGTAGGGGGCCCCATGAGATGCCCCTGGTACCTTTTTTCATAGGCTTTTTTGGGTGTGGGCGAGGACACAGGGACCCCATTATCCCCTATTGCCCGGGGGCCCCATGAGTTGTCAGTCTGCCCCTGGCGCAGCCATGAGGGCAAACAGTACATTTACAATACAAGTTCATACAGTAGGAATCAGAGGGCCCTGCTCGTTAGAGCTTACGATCTAGAAGGAATGTGCATTTATCTCTGAGGACGTGCATGTGCACGAAACGCGTCGGGTGGAGCCTTTACGCGCTGACGTCACGCCGACGTTGCAGGAGTCCGGATCGGCAGCCATCTTAGTAAGTCTGACTGCAAATGTTTCCACATGGAATAATGTCATAGTTGATTTTAAGATTGACCTTTTAAACATCAGCCCCTCGACGCCGACGTAAATCACAAATCTGCAACCTCACAGATCTGGGCTTTTTTTCCGCGGGGCTGCATACTTGTGTACAGGGGCGGACAGACAACCCATGGGGCCCCCGGGCAATAGGGGATCATGGGGCCCCTGTGTCCACGCAAACCACACCCAAAAAAGCCTATGAAAGGTACCAGAGGCATCTCATGGGGTACCATACTGACCCCAGGCCCTTGGGCAGTGTCCGAGTTCCCAAATGGTCAGTCCGCCCCTGCTTGTGTACCTGTCTTTCTGCTGGAAGCACAAAGACTGGGGTGTCACTGAGAGCCTCGGGTCCCGTTATAACGATTGGGACCCGGGACTCCCGATTCTGGGTCACATGATTACTGTGACAACTCATGGGGCCCCTGTGTCCTCACCCACACTCAAACCACTCCCAAAAAAGCCTATGAAAAGGTACCAGGGGCATCTCATGAGGCCTCCAGCTGACCCCGGGCCCTCGGGCAGTACCTGAGTGTCCGAATGGTCAGTCTGCCCCCAGCTGTGATAGCCTGTGATTAGCTATCACAGTGATCAGTCACTGTGAAGCCCGCCCCCCTTGTTTTTTTTTATCTCTAAAGGGAGGAGAGAGATACATTGTATTTCTCTTTCTCTCTCTTTGCATAGAGAAAAAAAAAATAACTGTTTGTAAATAAAAAAAAAAAGAGAAATAAAATTTAAAAATTAAATTAAAATAAAAAAATAATACCTTGATCATTTTTTTTTTGAGGAAAAAAATGAATTGAATCCATTTTGGAGTAAGGCTGTAACATAACACAATGTGGCAAAAGTTAAGCGCTGGGAATACTTTCAGGATGCGCTGTAACTTTCAGCTTTTTCCAGCACAGAGGATGCTTTTTTTTTTCCAGTCTTCTGAAGTGTAACAAGACAACGACTTAGCCCGAAGCCCTCCGAAGTGCTAGCACCGACTGAAGGAAAACTAATTGGCACTAAACAGGAGGGGCTGACAGTGGAAGAAACCAGAATCATATAGTAAACAAGTTGTACTGGCCCAAAACCACCACTAGATGTCAGCATACTACAGAACAATATTAATTCCTTTAAGAGCGCCCAACACATATGTGCTGAGTCAAAAGGATGAGCTTTGAAACGCCCACATGCTGCAGGTATGCGTCGCTGGGCAGCCGATGCCTCAGAGCATGCTCACTGCGTGTTCCCGGCACAGACAATGGCCTGTCAAAGACAACTCTTGGTACAAACGAACGATCGGCTTCTGATCATGTGACCACTGGAAAGGCGGTCACATGATTGCTGATCCTTCCTACCCCCTGGGCGTCCCGAACTGTTTATAGGGTCACCAGGGCGGGCGGGAAGGGGTTAACCTGATGCAGTTCAATACAGAACATCCATTATGGCCACCAGATGGAGCCAAGGAGCAGATATATTTCCAACTATAGTCAGCGCCATCTAGTGGCAGGATTTGCTCCTTGCGCACACATTCGATCTGCAGGTAACATAGCCTGGGAACATTGGTTTTTGCCGCATTGCACAGAACATATCTACATATGGCTTCGGCTGGAGGAACATTTTATTATTATTATTATTACAGGCAGGGCTGCAGTTAGAAACCACTGGGCCCCATATAGCCAACCTGACAGGGTCACCTACAAAAAATACAAAACACAGTTTACTATGCTTCAGTTATGAATGAACACGGTGAGTGATCAGTACTGATCACTCATTGTGTTCATTCAGCAATGGAAGGGGCTGGTTGACGTAACAGATTTATCGGACCGTTCTCCCACTCTCCATCCTGAAGTATCCTACTGTGTGCTTGCTGCTGGAGGGAGAGGAGGGAAGCCAGCACTGTGGGGGCCCAGGCAGCTGGGTGCATCAAATGTGCACAGGGAGGGTGATCGGCATGATGGGCACTTAGTGGAAGATGGCTCTGTCTGCAGAGGGGAAGAAGCCAGCTTTCAGATGCTGCAGAGATAGCCATACTGGTGATTGATTACAATAATTGCCCCCCCCCCCCCACCATGCCAATCACCCTCCCTGCCCACATCCAATTCACCCACCCCCTGCTGGCCTGGGCCCCGTGCAGGAGGATTGGTGGTGTCCCCTTATCCATGGTGCTGATCTACATATATATTGTACATTCACATCAGTCCCTGACCCTCAAGGGGTGTACAATCTAAGGTCCATAACCCTCAAGGGGCGTACAATCTAAGGTCCCTAACCCTCAAGGGGCGTACAATCTAAGGTCCCTAACTCACATTCATACATACACATACTAGGGACAATTTAGACAGGGGCCAATTCACCTACCAGCATGTCTTTTGTGTGTGGGAGGAAACTGGAGTACCCAGAGGAAACCCACGCAGGCACAGGGAGAACATGCAAACTCCAGGCAAGTGGTGCCATGGTTGGGATTTGAACTGACAAACCTGGTACTGCCAGATGGAAGTGCTAACTATTCAGCCAGTGTGCTGCCCACCATTTTATTCTATTCATACAATGCTAGGAGTGAAGATCCAATGCCGTGTGTCCCAGTTCTGAATGTTGCTCGGGGCTCTGGATCTCCACTCCGGGGCTGTAAAGTCAAACCGTAAAATATTGTTTTTTCACACCAGATCGCCCCATCCCCCACATGCCTAGGAAATATCAAGTAGAGCTGAGGACTCAAGAGATGTCGTTATCAATACTTCATCAAATATTCAGAGACTGGAATGGACTTTTTGCTACATTCTGCTGAAGGGCTGAGTGAATTCCAATACAAGCAGATAGCGCCTCCTACTGACCATAAGGAGGTATTACATGCTCACAAACCGTGAAAATACAATTTATGTTCCCCCAGTGGTGTATTTAGGTTTCGTACTGACCTAGGCAATACAAAAATTGCCCCATCCCCCACCGAGAGACCCTGACACCGACCAACACCCCCTCCTTCCCCAAGAAGAGACCCTGACACCGACCAACACCCCCCCCCTTCCCCACGAAGAGACCCTGACACTGAACAACAATCCCCTTCCCCACGAAGAGACCCTGACACCGACCAACACCCCCTCCTTCCCCACGAAGAGACCCTGACACCGACCAACACCCCCCCTCCTTTCCCAAAAAAGAGACCCTGACACCGACCAACACCCCCCCTCCCCCACGAAGAGAGCCTGACATTGACCAACCCCCCCCACCAAGAGACCATGACATTGACCAACACCCCTCTCCCCCAGAAAGAGACCCTGACATTGCCCAACACCCCCCCCCCCCCACAAAGAGACCCTTACACCAACCAACACCCCCCCTTCCCTCACGAAGAGATCCTGACACCGATCAACACCCTCCCCCCTCCACCACGAAGAAATCCTGATACCGACCAACCCCCCCACAAAGAGACCCTGACACTGACCAACACCTCCCTTTCCCACGAAGAGAGCCTGACATTGAAACACCCCCCCCCTCTTCCCCCACAAAGAGACCCTAACATTGACCAACACCCCCCCCCCCCCACGAAGAGACCCTGACACCGACCAACCCCCCCCCCCCCCCCACAAGGAGACCCTGACACTGACCAACACCTCCCTTTCCCATGAAGAGAGCCTGACATTGACCAACACCCCCCCCTCCCCACGAAGAGACCCTGACACCAACCAACACCCCCCTCCCCCACCAAAAGACCCTGACACCGACCAACACCCTCCCTTCCCCACAAAGAGAGCCTGACATTGACCAACACCCCCCCCCCCCCCCACGAAGAGACCCTGACACCGACCAACACCTCCCTTCCCCACAAAGAGAGCCTGACATTGACCAACACCCCCCCCCCCCCCCCACGAAGAGACCCTGACACCAACCAACACCTCCCTTCCCCACAAAGAGAGCCTGACATTGACCAACACCCCCCCCCACGAAGAGACCCTGACACTGACCAACACCCCCCTCCCCCACGAAGAGACCCTTACACCAACCAACACCCCCCCCTCCCTCACGAAGAAATCCTGACACCGATCAACACCCCCCCCCCACCACGAAGAAACCCTGACATCGACCAACCCCCCCCCCCCCCACAAAGAGACCCTGATACTGACCAACACCTCCCTTTCCCACGAAGAGAGCCTGACATTGACCGACACCCCCCCCCCCCCCACGAAGAGACCCTGACATTGACCAACACCCCCCCCCCCCCACGAAGTGACCCTGACATTCACCAACACCTCCCCCCCCACGAAGAGACCCTGGACCCTGACACCGACCAACACCTCCCTTTCCCACGAGGAGAGCCTGACATTGACCAACACCCCCCCCCCCCCCCCCCCACGAAGAGACCCTGACACCGACCAACACTCCCTTTCCCCCACAAAGAGACCCTGACAATGACCAACACCCCCCTCCCCCACAAAGACTCCCTGACACAGACAACACCCCCCCCTCCCCCACGAAGAGACCTTGACACCGACTAACACCTCTCTTCCCCACGAAGATAGCCTGACATTAACCAACACCCCCCCCTCCCCCACGAAGAGACCCTGACACCGACCAACACCCCCCCCCCCCCACGAAGAGACCCTGACACCAACCAACAACACCCCCGAGCCCCCACCCGAGAGAGCCTTCCACTACCACAGCCCCCCATACACTGGCAACCCCCCCACCCCAGTGAGAGATAAGACACTCACCTTCACAGCTCCGAACATCCCCGGGAACAAGAGTCAGCCTCTGCATACACCATCAAGCAGCCCGCAGCCTCTCTCAGATCCCAACTGGTCCCCATGCTGCGTGTGTCCCTTCTTACATCCCTTCTTTTGGAGGGCGGTGCTGCCCCCTGAAAAATGCCGCCCTAGGCAAATGCCTTGTTTGCCTTGTAGTAAATACACCCCCTGTGCACGCCTTTTTTTTACATTTATTTCAGGTACTTATATAGCGCCATCAATGTACGCAGCACTTTACATATATGTTGTACATTCACATCAGTCCCTAACCCTCAAGGGGCGTACAATCTAAGGTCCATAACCCTCAAGGGGTGTACAATCTAAGGTCCCTAACTCACATTCATACATACACATACTAGGGCCAATTTAGACAGGAGCCAATTAACCTACCAGCATGTCTTTGGAGTGTGGGAGGAAACCAGAGTACCCAGATGAAATACACACAGGCACAGGGAGAACATGCAAACTGCAGGCAGGTGCTGCCATGGTTGGGATTCAAACCAACGACTCTAGTACTGCCAGGCAGAAATGATAACCATTTAGCCACTGTGCTTTCTTAAAAATTGAAGAAACAGTGTAAACAATTTTTAAAAAATAAAATAAATATTTTTTTTTTAAAAAAGAGCCCCATTCCCCCCCTGTGCTCAGGTGCAAATGTGAACACTCGCACATATGTAAAACAGCAATCCCACCACACGTGAGGTATTGCCATGAATGTCAGAGCGAGGGAAATCACTTTTGTGCCAGACCTCCTCTGTAATTCGTAACTGGTAACCTGTAGAGGCTTTTAAATTGTCCCCTATGGGGGTTTTAGGTACCGAAGTCTGCCACCATTCCACCGGCAAACACAATCAAAAGTGTGACATGTTTGGTATCAATTTACTCGACATAACATCGTCTTTCATATAGTGCCAAACAATTTGGTATTTCATGTGTTTTTGTGAATTAAAATTCATTCAAATGTATTTTTTTTTTTAAAAATTGCGTTTTAAAAACTGCTGTACAAATACCGCGTGACTTTAAAAAGAAAATCACAACACCCACCATTTTATTCTCTGAAGCCTCTGCTTTAAAAAAAAAACATTATATGTTTGGGGGTAATTTACTAGCAGGGGCAGACTGACCATTCGAGCACGCAGGCACTGCCCGAGGGCCCGGGGGCAGTGGGGGGCCCCATGAAATGCCCCTGGTACCTTTTTATAGGCTTTTTTGGGTGTGCTTTGACTGTGGGCAAGGACATAGGGGCCCCATGATCCCCTATTGCCCGGGGGCCCCATAAGTTGTCAGTCCGCCCCTGTTTACTGGCAAAAAAATGTAGATTTTCTGAGAGAAGTGTCAGAATAGGCCCGGTGTTTAAGGAATGGCCTGGCGGGATCTGAAAGTGGAGTTGATTCTCCCTTACCGTGACCGTTGTCCCATCCAGCTCCGTAAAGAAGAGATCTCCTCCTTGAAAGTCGTCATTCAAGTAAAGCATCCCACTGCAGGACAAATCAGACATTTGTAACAGATCATTATCAACGTCAAAATTGACTGCGTCCACCAATATAGTATACGGCCAATCTAGCGTGGGCAGCACAGGATCACACCTACAGATAGATAGCAGGGCCGGATCTAGGGGGGTGCTGGGGTGAGTTGTACCCCCGAGATTTTAGTTGAGCCCCCCCCCAGGTTTCATAGAGTGCATCCACTCATTTATGAGCCAGCCTTCTGAGGGCAAGTGATGTAAGGGAGCGTGCTGATGCAGGCAGTTAATGTAAGGGGCGCTCTGAACGGGACAATCCATGTACCTAGGCACTCTACTGTACTGATTTGGACATCTGATGTAAGGGGGCACTCTGATTTGGACATCTGATGTAAGGGGCACTCTGATAGGGTAATTGATAATATGTAAGGGGGCACTCTAATGGGAACAGTTAAGGTAAGGGGAACATTGATGGGGATGCACTGGATTCAAGGGGGCACTGGATGGGACATTGATTTTAAGGGGCATGTCGATGGGGACAGTTGACGTAAGGGGGGACCCTGATGAGGACACCTGATTTAAGGGAACACTCTGATGGGGACCCTGATGTAAGGGGGCACTCTGACAGGGATTCTGATGTAAGGGGGCACTCTGACGGGGACCCTGATGTAAGGGAGCACTCTGACTGGGACCCTGATGTAAGGGAGCACTCTGATGGGACCTTGATGTAAGGGGGCACTCTGATGGGGACCCTGATGTAAGGGAGCACTCTGATGGGACCTTGATGTAAGGGGGCACTCTGATGGGGATTCTGATGTAAGGGGGCACTCTGACGGGGACCCTGATGTAAGGGGGCACTCTGATGGGGATTCTGACGTAAGGGGGCACTCTGACGGGGACCCTGATGTAAGGGGGCACTCTGATGGGGATTCTGATGTAAGGGGGCACTCTGACGGGGACCCTGATGTAAGGGGGGTACTCTGATGAGGACCCTGATGTAAGGGGGCACTCTGACGGGGACCCTGATGTAGGGGACACTCTGACAGGGACCCTGATGTAAGGGAGCACTCTGATGAGTACCCTGATTTAAGGGGGCACTCTGATGGGGACACTGATGTAAAGGGGGTAGTCTGATGAGGACCCTGATGTAAGGGGGTACTCTGATGGGGACCCTGATGTAAGGGGCTACTCTAATGGGGACCCTGATGTAAGGGGCTACTCTAATGGGGACCCTGATGTAAAGGGGAACTCTGATGGGGACCCTGATGTAAGGGGGTAGTCTGATGGGGACCCTGATGTAAGGGGGTAGTCTGATGAGGACCCTGATGTAAGGGGGGTACTCTGATGGGGACCCTGATGTAAGGGGCTACTCTAATGGGGACCCTGATGTAAGGGGGGCACTCTGACTGGGACCCTGATGTAAGGGGGTAGTCTGATTTGGACCCTGATGTAAGGGGCTACTCTGATGGGGACCCTGATGTAAGGGGGAACTCTGATGGGGACCCTGATGTAAGGGTAGTCTGATGAGGACCCTGATGTAAGGGGGCACTCTGACAGGGACCCTGATGTAAGGGGGGGGTACTCTGATAAGGACACCTTAGGACAAAATGTATTCTGCTACATGTCTCTGGTAAAAAATACCAACAAGTGTATAATATTGGTTTGTGTGAAAGTCATAGCATCTGTAATCTATGGGGTATATACTGAAATGACGCTATACTAGTAACGGCGGTGATCAGTGACTTATAGTGGGACTGTGACAGTGTGGCAGGAAACCATGTGCTAACAGACACTGACTAGGAGAGACACTAACTGACATGATGTCGCTAGTGAGACTAATACAGTGATCAGTGATAATACTGTACACTGTACTAATGACACTGGCTGGGAAGGGGTTAACATCAAGGGGTTAACCGTGTGACTCACGATGTGTAATTGTGCTGCTTTTACACACAGATCTGGCTGTCTTTTTCCTCCCTGCTTTCCAGAGAGAAGAAACAGCCATATTGTTGTACAGTGTACACAGAGTTCTGTGTGTTTTGCAAACACAGAACCCTGTGTGTGTGATTGGACACAGACGATTAGCAGGTTTCATCAAAATCATTGGCTGAAATCTGCTGCCAAATGTGTGCTGTGTCCAATGCCAAATGTGTGCTGTGTTTCAATCACAGCATGGGTCAGCAGGGGGCGCACACATGCACCTGCCACCCGCTAGCGGAATGGTTGCTGTGAGCCATCAGCAGGTGGTGAATGCCCCTGTTTCTGGAATGGGATGTTCAATAGGTTCATATTGGTGTGCTGGTCAGGTGTTCACAAACTTTCAGTTATTTCAAATATGAGGAAGTGCTGTAGGAGGATTATATTCGGCCCCAGAACCCCACCTGTAGTCTCTGTGGATGTATGCAGGCGGCTCCTTCCAGCAAGCTTTCTCCTCAGTGTCCAGAATACAGTTATCAGCATGAACGGGGTGACTGACATCTGTGCGACCCTCCTGTTCTCCTAATTCAGACGGTCATAGAGAAGACAGAAAGGGGAGACGAGATTAAGAAGCTCACAGCAATTATACAAATTAAAATGTAATAGATTTAATAGATGACAAAGGATTCCCAGAGCACTAGGGGTTAGCTAAAGAGACAGTAAAACAGAAGTCCTTTCCTTTCAGGTAAAGCAAAATATAAAGTACTTATGTAAAGTGCATCAACCTATGAATGTGACAATCTATTATCATGCAATCCCAATATATAAAAAACACTATAAAAAATTAATAAATGTCCATCAAACTTTGCAAAGCTCTATGTGAAAATAGTTTCTTGAAAAACGTCCACTCTGTATTTCAATATATTCAGCACACTGAAGGTTTTGCTAGATATTTATACTTCACTTTTAGGCGTTCTCTCACCTATCTGACTCATTCAGGTTTGTATGTAAATTTCACCTTCAGCTACTGAGGTTTGCAGACAGCAGGGATTTTTTTACAATCAGAAAAACAGAAGAAGGTCTTAAAACTACACCAATTCCATCTAATCCCATTCTAACAACCCAGAGCTGGAAAAATCCTAGATATCCACCGACAATTGTGTCTGTAAAGATAAAAGCCACTGGTCTGACTTTTCTAAAACATTTCTGCTGATTGCAAGGTGAGCAAACTTTCCCTCATTTTTTAATAGTACTTGCTGGTTGACACACTGACTAGAGACGTGCACAGCAGAAAAACACTACATCTGGTCTCCCAGGACCCCGCATTCAATATATCCGATCTCCCCCGGACGGACCCTGCATTCACTATATCCGGTCTCCCCGGGACCCTCATTCACTATATCTGCTCTCCCCCTGCATTCACTACACCCCCCCGCATTCACTATAACCGCTCTCCCCGGACCCCGCATTCACTACATCTGGTCTCCCAGGACCCCACATTCACTATATCCGCTCTCCCCTGACCTACATTAACTATATCTGCTCTCCCCGGACCCCGCATTCACTACATCTGGTCTCCCCGGACCCTGCATTCACTATATCCGCTCTCCCCGGACCCTGCATTCACTATATCCGCTCTCCCCGGACCTGCATTCACTATATCCGCTCTCCCCGGACCCTGCATTCACTATATCTGGTCTCCCCGGACCCTGCATTCACTATATTCACTCTCCCCGGATCCTGCATTCACTATATCTGATCTCCCCAGACCCCGCATTCACTATATCTGGTCTTCCTGGACCTCGCATTCACTATATCCGCTCTCCCCGGACCCTGCATTCACTACATCTGGTCTCCCAGGACCCTGCATTCACTACATCTGGTCTCCAAGGACCCTGCATTCACTATATCCGCTCTCCCCGACCCTGCATTCACTACATCTGGTCTCCCAGGACCCTGCATTCACTATATCCGGTCTCCTAAGACCCTGCATTCACTATATCCGCTCTCTCCCGGACCCTGCATTCACTACATCTGGTCTCCCAGGACCCCGCATTCACTATATCCTCTCTCCCCGGACCCTGCATTCACTACATCTGGTCTCCCAGGACCCCACATTCACTATATCCGGTCTCCCCGGACCCTGCATTCACTATATCCGCTCTCCCCTGAGCCTGCATTCACTATATCTGCTCTCCCCGGACCCCGCATTCACTACATCTGGTCTCTCCCAGGACCCTGCATTCACTATATCCGCTCTCCCCGGGACCCTGCATTCACTATATCCACTCTCCCCGGACCCTGCATTCACTATATCTGGTCTTCCTGGACCCTGCATTCACTATATCTGGTCTTCCTGGACCCTGCATTCACTATATCCCTCTCTCCCGGACCCTGCATTCACTATATCCGCTCTCCCCGGACCCTGCATTCACTATATCCGCTCTCCCCGGACCCCGCATTCACTATATCCACTCTCCCCGGACCCTGCATTCACTATATCTGGTCTCCCTGGACCCTGCATTCACTATATCCACTCTCCCCGGACCCTGAATTCACTATATCTGGTCTCCCCGGACCCCGCATTCGCTATATCCCGCTCTTCCCCGGACCCCCGGACCCTGCATTCACTATATCCGCTCTCCCCGGACCCTGCATTCACTATATCCGCCCTCCCTGGACCCCGCATTCACTATATCCACTCTCCCCGGACCCTGCATTCACTATATCTGGTCTCCCCGGACCCTGCATTCACTATATCCACTCTCCCCGGACCCTGCATTCACTATATCTGGTCTCCCCGGACCCTGCATTCACTATATCCATTCTCCCCGGACCCTGCATTCACTATATCCCCTCCCCCCGGACCCTGAATTCACTATATCCGCTCTCCCCGGACCCTGTATTCGCTATATCTGGTCTCCCCGGACCCTGTATTCGCTATATCCACTCCACCCGGACTCTACATTCACTATATCTGGTCTCTCCAGACCCTGCATTCACTATATCCGCTCTCCCCGGACCCTGCATTCACTATATCCGCTCTCCCCGGACCCTGCATTCACTATATCCACTCCCCCGGACTCTACATTCACTATATCTGGTCTCCCCAGACCCTGCATTCACTATATCCGCTCTCCCCGGACCCTGCATTCACTATATCCGCTCTCCTCGGACCCCGCATTCACTATATCTGCTCTCCCCGGACCCCGCATTCACTATATCCGCTCTCCCCGGACCCTGCATTCACTATATCCTCTCTCCCCGGACCCCGCATTCACTATATCTGGTCTCCCCGGACCCTGCATTCACTATATCTGCTCTCCCCGGACCCTGCATTCACTATATTTGGTCTCCCAGGACCCTGCATTCACTACATCTGGTCTCCCAGGACCCTGCATTCACTATATCTGGTCTCCCCGGACCCTGCATCCACTATATCCACTCTCCCCAGACCCTGCATTCACTACATCTGGTCTCCCAGGACCCCGCATTCACTATATCCGGTCTCCTAGGACCCTGCATTTACTATATCCGCTCTCCCCGGACCCTGCATTCACTACATCTGGTCTCCCAGGACCCCGCATTCACTATAACCGCTCTCCCCGGACCCTGCATTCACTACATCTGGTCTCCCAGGACCCCACATTCACTATATCCGGTCTCCCCGGACCCTGCATTCACTATATCCGCTCTCCCCTGAGCCTGCATTCACTATATCTGCTCTCCCCGGACCCCGCATTCACTACATCTGGTCTCCCAGGACCCTGCATTCACTATATTCGCTCTCCCCGGACCCTGCATTCACTATATCCGCTCTCCCCGACCCTGCATTCACTATATCTGGTCTCCCCGGACCCTGCATTCACTATATCTGATCTCCCCAGACCCTGCATTCACTATATCTGGTCTTCCTGGACCCTGCATTCACTATATCTGATCTCCCCAGACCCCGCATTCACTATATCTGGTCTTCCTGGACCTCGCATTCACTATATCCGCTCTCCCCGGACCCTGCATTCACTATATCCGCTCTCCCCGGACCCTGCATTCACTATATCCAGTCTCCCCGGACCCTGCAGTCATTATATCTGGTCTCCCCGGACCCTGCATTCACTATATCCTCTCTCCCTGGACCCCGCATTCACTATATCCGCTCTCCCCGGACCCTGCATTCACTATATCTGGTCTCCCAGGACCCTGCATTCACTATATCTGGTCTCCCCGGACCCCGCATTCACTATATCCGCGCTCTCCCGGACCCCGCATTCACTATATCTGCTCTCCCCGGACCCCGCATTCACTATATCCGCTCTCCCCGGACCCTGCATTCACTATATCCGCTCTCCCTGGACCCTGCATTCACTATATCTGGTCTCCCACAGTATACACAACATGGAAATGCAATTTTAGTAAACATAAACTGCTAAATACCTTTTCTGATCAGCAGTATATAGCAGTCGTGTGATTTCTATCAGTGCTCAGCAGATCACTGGTTAAAGCTTGTAGGAGTTTTCTTTCTGCTCGAGGAGGATGCAGAACCCCTGACCTCTGTCTGGACAGTGCTGATTGGCCCTGTGCTGATCACATGCACTCTCCCAAGAAAACAAAAAACCTTTCTAGCAATACACACCAAACTGAGCATGTGCACAGTGTCTCCATGACATGTCTTATCAGGAGGTAAGAGGGGGACACTGGAAGAGGAGGATCAGAGAAGACAGGATCAAACAGCTTTTTTACACAAAGCAAAGGATTAGCCCCTTAGGGTCCACAGTGAGTATAACAAGCATGCTTTACTGCATCTACAGACTGATTGTACTGTTGGGGGTTTAGTAACACTTTAAAATAATAATTTTGTTTCATTATATTCATTATGTTCGAATGATTCCTTTATCAAAATTCGTTTTATATATTTGGAGTTGTTTCCTATGTGCATTATTTTCAAATCGATTCAAAAATTATTCAAATCCAAAAAATTAATTTGAATTTGAATTCAAAAATGAAGTCGAATTTGATTTTGAAAAAATATTGCAATAAATACAGTAAGGTAAATAAGATGATGATTCCTACTTAAGCTCTTTATAGAATAGAACAGAAAAGAATAGAACAGGGAAATACAGAATAGCGTAGAATAAAATAGAACAACATAAAACAGGAATTGAGTAATATTCGTTTTATTGTATTATAATCTATTCTAATCTATTGAATTCTTTTCTATTCTATTCTTTCACTTTTTATTCTATTCTTTTCTATTCTATTACATTTTTTTTAGTCCATTATTTTCTATTCTATTTTAATTTTTTATTCTATACTATTCTATTCTGATCTACTATATTCTTTTATTTTCTATTCTATTGTTTTATTCTATTCTATTCTTTCATTTTCTATTTTATTCTATTTTACTCTATTCTGTTCTTTTATTTTTTATTCTATTGTTTTATTCTATTCTTTCATTTTCTATTTTATTCTATTCTACTCTATTCTGTTCTATTCTTTTATTTTCTATTCTATTGTTTTATTCTATTCTATCATTTTCTATTTTATTCTATTTTACTCTATTCTGTTCTTTTATTTTTTATTCTATTGTTTTATTCTATTCTATCATTTTCTATTTTATTCTATTCTACTCTATTCTGTTCTATTCTTTTATTTTCTATTCTATTGTTTTATTCTATTCTATCATTTTCTATTTTATTCTATTCTACTCTATTCTGTTCTATTTTTTATTTTCTATTTTATTCTATTCTTTCATTTTCTATTTTATTCTATTCTACTCTATTCTGTTCTATTCTTTTATTTTCTATTCTATTGTTTTATTCTATTCTATCATTTTCTATTTTATTCTATTCTACTCTATTCTGTTCTATTTTTTATTTTCTATTTTATTCTATTCTCTTCTGTTCTATTCTACTCTATTCATCGGCCTAAATGAGCACCTTCATCTTATTTCACTTTTATTCCTTACTGTATTTATTACAATATGTTTCCATTTCAAATCTGAATTCTTTCTCAAATTCAAATACAATTTCAAATTCGGATACATCGTTTAGTTAAAATCTATTTCGGATTCATTGAAATTTGCTATTATTGTGATGCAGGAGTTCGGATACATCCAAACCTCTGAATAACGAAAATGTTGTCTGAATTTCATTTCGTAATGCAATGGATCGCATGCGTCCAGGGACAGACACTCATGGGGCCCCCGGGCAATAGGGGATCATGAGGCCCCTGTGTCCTTGCCCACACTCAAAGCACACCCAAAAAAGCCTGTAAAAGGTAACAGGGGCATCTCATGGGACCCCTTACTGACCCCGGGGCCCTTAGGCAGTGCCCGAGTGCTCGAACGGTCAGTCCACCCCTGCACATATCTAACACGGAACTCACCAGCCCTTTCCTGCAATGTGTGTACAATGCGGCTGTACTTACCTTCAATGGCCGTCCGACACACCAGCTGAGTGTAGGAGAAGTGCAGAGGGTTCGTTTCAAAATACGACTGCGCCAGGATCCGAGCTCGCTCACCGGCATAATAAAATAGATGCGCCCGGGTCGTGTCCACTGCTCCTGCCGACGCCATCTAGACCCAAACATGATAATAAAAGAACTATAATACAATACAAATACATAACATAATACAACATTCATCACTATGATCATTGGAACTGAAAATCACTTCCATGTAAATAAATGATATATCTATGTATCAATGTATTATGTATAACTATAAAACAATATGAATACATAAAACAAGAAGTATGAAAAGGCAACCCCAAAACACTACAATGTCCCAACTGCTAGCAATAGGAACACAAAACGATATAGATGAGCTCTTCCACTGATCTTGGCCTGTTACTGTGATCATTGTATTATGTCTATGGACACTACAACAGTGAGATTCTTTGCCATGAGCACACTAGATGTACAGACCCGGGACCTCAGCACCCAGATGGTGGGAACCCCTCATAATGTGCACACTAAGTGTACTGACCCGGAACCTCAGCACCCAGGTGGTGGGAACCCCTCATATATGGGCACACTAAGTGTACAGACCTAGGACTTCAGCAACCAGGTGGTGGGTACCCCTCATAATGGGCACGCTAAGTGTACAGACCCAGGAACTCAGCACCCAGATGGTGGGAACCCCTCATAATGGGCACACTAGGTGTACAGACCTGGGACTTCAGCAACCAGGTGGTGGGTACCCCTCATAATGGGCACACTAAGTGTACAGACCCAGGACCTCAGCACCCAGGTGGTGGGAACCCCTCATAATGGGCACACTAAGTGTACAGACCCGGGAACTCAGCACCCAGATGGTGGGAACCCCTCATAATGTGCACACTAAGTGTACAGACCCGGGACCTCAGCACCCAGGTGGTGGGAATCCCTCACAATGGGCAGACTAGGTATACAGACCCGGTAACTCAGCACACAGGTGGTGGGAATCCCTCACAATGGGCAGACTAGGTATACAGACCCAGGACCTCAACACCCAGGTAGTGGGTAACCCTCATAATGGGCACACTAAGTGTACAGACCCAGGAACTCAGCACCCAGATGGTGGGAACCCCTCACATGGGCAGCCTAGGTATACAGACCCAAGAACTCAGCACCTAGGTGGTGGGAACCCCTCATAATGGGCACCACTAGGTGTATAGACCCAGGAACCCAGCACCCAGGTGGTGGGAACCCCTCATAATGGGCACACTAAGTGTACAGACCCAGGAACTCAGCACCCAGATGGTGGGAACCCCTCATAATGGGCATACTAGGTGTACAGACCCAAGAACTCAGCACCCAGGTGGTGGTAACCCCTCATAATGTGCAGACTAGGTATACAGACCCGAGAACTAAGCACCCAGGTGGTGAGAACCCCTCATAATGTGCAGACTAGGTATACAGACCTGAGAACTCAGCACCCAGATGGTGGGAACCCCTCATAATGGGCACACTAAGTGTACAGACCCGGGACCTCAGCACCCAGGTGGTGGGAACCCCTCATAATGGGCACACTAAGTGTACAGACCCAGGAACTCAGCACCCAGTTGGTGGAAACCCTTCATACTGGGCAGAGTAGCTATACAGACCCAGGACCTCAGCACCCAGATGGTGTGAACCCCTCATAATGGGCACACTAAGTGTACAGACCCGGGACCTCAGCACCCAGGTGGTGGGAACCCCTCATAATGGGCACACTAGGTGTACAGACCAGGGAATTCAGCAACCAGGTAGTGTGAACCCCTCATAATGGGCAGACTAGGTATACACACCCGAGAACTCAGAAACCAGGTGGTGAGACCCCCTCATAATGGGCAGACTAGGTATACAGACATGGTAACTCAGCACCCAGGTGGTGGGAACCCCTCATAATGGGCACACTAAGTGTACAGACCCAGTAACTCAGCACCCAGGTGGTGGGAACCCCTCATAATGGGCAGACTAGGTATACAGACCCGGTAACTCAGCACCCAGGTGGTGGGAACCCCTCATAATGGGGACACTAAGTGTACAGACCCGGGAACTCAGCACTCAGGTGGTGGGAACCCCTCATAATGTGCAGACTAGGTATACAGACCCGGTAACTCAGCACCTAGATGGTGGGAACCCCTCATAATGGGATCACTAAGTGTACAGACCCGAGAACTCAGCAACCAGGTGGTGGGAACCGCTCATATTAGGCATACTAGGTGTACAGACCCGGGACCTCAGCAACCAGGTGGTGGGAACCGCTCATAATGGGCACAGTGGGTGTACAGACCCCAAGGACGGTGGAACATCCCTTCAAAGTAGAAAACATTTTCCCATGGATAGGCTTTAAATCACATAGTCCCCTTTGTTTAGTAGCATGCATGTTGTGCTAACCTGTAGTGCTCTCAGTACAGTCAAGGCCTGGATCTTCTCTCGGGGGGTGTGAGATGACCGTCTAGCTTTAAACCCATCTCCTGAGGCTTCAGCTTCCTGATAGGGGAAAATGGAAGGAAAGAAAGTCGCAAATAATAATGACTTGCCTCTTCCCACACCAAGCCATGGCCAACCTTTAAACCCCCCCCCCCCCAATCCTACATGTTGTATCTTTCAAGGCACACCCCTCTATTTCTCCACTCACCTGAACCAGACTGAGCAGAGACTCACACTCATCCTTACTGAAGACACCATCGAGAGTGACCCTGACTGTTCCATTCATCTGTCTTGGGGTGAGTGTGACAGATACCTCATCATAGGGCAGATCTCCTATGGGGAGAAAAAGATCTTGTGTCACATGACCACATCAATATAAACTCCATACTGGTACTAAAGAGGCCCTACAAATATGCCCATCACTTCCTACTGTGGCAACAGATTCTCCATCCCATGACCACTAGACCATGTGGAGCCAACAAAGGCTCCATATGACATGGCAAGTTTGATCCAGGAAAGCCTAAAACAAAGGCTGGAAAAACAACACAGGAGCAGAAATAAAGCAAACCAATTACTTAACTACAAAAATGAAGTCACTCCTAAAACCTCTGCAGTCCTCGGCTCCAGCTTGCAGGTGCTCACTCCTCTGGGGTCTGCTCTTCCCACACACATTTGAGCAAAATTCTGGAGCCACACACCACTTCCAAAGGGTAAAATCAATGATGCTTGACCAATTGCTTGGTTCATCTTAGAGATTAAATCAAATTGGTTGGGAAACTACTCAACTTTGATTTGAGTGTTGGAGCTCAGTCCTAGAACCAGTAGACAGACAAGGCTCCAAAAAAAGCCCAAAAAGGTGTAGACAAAATAATCTCATGATCAAGGCTGGGCCAATCCCAGGAACCAAGGCTTGGTCAATCCTACGAATCAAGGCTGGGCCAATCCCAGGAACCAAGGCTGGGCCAATCCCAGAAACCAAGGCTGGGCCAATCCCAGAAACCAAGGCTGGGCCAATCTTGGGAATCAAGGCTGGGCCAATCCCAGGAACTAAGGGTGGGCCAATCCCAGGAACTAAGGCTTGGCCAATCTTTGGAATCAAGGCTGGGCCAATCCCAGGAACCAAGGCTGGGTCAATCCTAGGAATCAAGGCTGGGCCAATCCCAGGAGCCAAGGCTTGGCCAATCCCAGGAGCCAAGGTTTAGCCAATCCCAAGAATCAAGATTGGGTTAATCCCAGGAACCAACCAAGGCTGGGCCAATCCCAGGAACCAAGGGACCTAAAAATTGGGTAAGTGGATGGCTAAGCCCACCCTGCTGGGAGCCTTTCACATTAAAAGTATAACTTGCCCACATTTTAGTCCAAGAGATATTTTTTCTTAAATTATTATTATTTTTTTTTTTTTTTAACAGAAAATGTTTTTTCAGTACAGCATTTGTTACATACACGGGTTTGTCAATACATTGGCAAATAAAAAAAAGGAGGGGAGAGTAAATGGAAAAAGACCATTTATTAGTGGACAAGTAGAAGGTACACATATACCAAGGACTGTAAGTTACATTGGGTATTATAGAAGTAGATGATAACCAAAGTCAGTGTTGGACAACCTCTATTCTCAATTAATCCTTTGTAGGGAAAGAATTTACCAGTGAAAGTTGGTAGGATCTGGACAACCACGTTTTCCATTTTTTTATGGTTTGGGGGAGAAGGTTCCTCCAAGTCAGAGGAATAACCTTCTTGCCATAAAAAAGGAAACAGTTATTTGCAACTTATCAAGTATGCCTAAAACTGTAGGACTACATAAATTCTGAAAGCTCAGAGCCGTCTTCAAAAAGCTGTTTATGTCAGACCAATATCCCCGTCCAAGAGCCAGTTTTGTAACATTGTCCTACTGATAGGTTTTCCTCTCTTCCTTGTCTACTAACAGCTAAAATATTCCTTTTGGGCAGACTGACCATTTAAAGTGCATCTAACCCCAAAAACAAAAATGTAAAAAATTTGCAGCTTTTCAGTCCTTAGAGTAGTTATTCCACTTTTCCTGTTGAGGTTTTTTCTTCACGGTAATTCTGAAAATAACTCCCGTGCCTGGGTGGCTAAGCTCATTCCTCAACTGTATCTATAGAGGAAGCCATGGTTGTCACAACGGCCTTCATTGTATGGGGAGATTGGTGTTTTAGGGATTAAAGCAGTGATGTATTTAGGTATTGTGCTGCCCTAGGCAACACAAAAATCGTCTGCCCCCATGGACACCGACCAACACCATCCTCAGAGAGCCTGACATTGACCAACAACACCCCTGCCCTCCACCTGGGAGAGCCTTCTACTACCCACCTGAGAGAAAGACACTCATCTTCACAGCTCTGGACATCTCTGGGAATGAGAGTCAGGCTCTACATAGACCCTCAAGCAGACTCTCTCAGATCCCGTCTGGTTCCTATGGCATGCCTGTCCCTTCTTTCATCACTTCTTCTGGGGGGAAGGTGCTGCCTCCCCTGAAAAATGCAGCCCTAGGCAAGTGCCTTGCTTGCCTTGTGGTAAATACAACCCTGGATTAAACATAACATTGTTTTATGCTTCCAGTTTTGCTCATAGTTGACAAAAATGCTGAAATTCTCACAAGATTGACAGGTATGTTCTATACTTGCTAAAATATTCTTGTGAAAAAAAGAAAGCTAATGTAGCTCTCACAACGAAGGCTCAGCAAGCTGTAATATATTACATTTTTGTTCTTGGGTTTAGTTATCTTGGTAATAGAGACCCCACAGAGCATGATTAACTGAACTGCCCAATAATGAGCCACAAGACCCACATGGAAGAAAAATATATTTTAAATATGTTGTAAAAATATTCTTCCCAAATATACTGATATATTTTTGAAATACTACAATTTTGGCCATATTCAATTTATTTCAATATTATATACACATACATATATACACACACACATACACACACTGTATGTTGAAATGCGTTTTTTATATATTACAAAATATATGAAAAATATTTTTTTTAAAATATATATTATTTAACCATTAGCCGCCCGGCCAATGGCCGTTTGGCGGCTTCAAAAGTGTCTCTGCACTCCGGGGGCACGCCAGTTGGCGTGCTCCCGCACATGCGCAGTTTGCGCTAATGCAGAGCGGCGCAGCAGTGCGATCTGTCACCGGCCGTGCACCTCGGACACGGCCGATAACAGATCCGAGTACCGGCTCCCGTTGCTGGTACCATGTGTGACCTGCTGTGACCAATCACAGCAGGTCACATGACAGTTGTATACAATGGATGGCTTCATTCATGATGCAATCCATTGTATACTAGTGCCTAGCTGTGAATGGTCACAGCTAATCACATGCACATGTCATGTGATTAGCTGTGACCAAATCACAGCTAAGCACAAAAAAAAAAAAAAAAAAAAAGGTGAATGAATCGATTTCATTCAGGTAAATGCTTGCTTATAGCAAAGTAATTCTTTGCTATAAGCAAATTGTGTAAAAAAAAAAAAAAAATACTGATCACTTCCCCAAAGTAGTACAATGTTACTATGGTAACATTGTACTACTTTGGTCATAGTAAAATATGAAAAAAAAATCTTTAAAAAAATTAAAAATGTAATAAAAAATTAAATATAATAAAAAAAAATAAAATAAAATAAAAAAAAAAAAATAATATATATATTTTTTTTCATACTGTCACCAGTCAGTGTCCCTGTTCACCACCATGCCAGTTATATGATGATGCGCTGTACTGCACTGGTGACAGTATGTAAAAAAAAAAAATAGTGAAAATAATTTTTTTAATTTTTTCATTTTCCGAAAAATATGACAAAAAAATACAACTTCAAAAAAATCGCCATGCCTCTTATGAAGTATGTCGAACTGTCTACTCTGCAAAAAGGGGTCATTTGGGATATCTGTACTGTCCTGACATTGGGGGATATCTGTACTGTCCTGACATTTGGGGGATATCTGTACTGTCCTGACATTTGGGGGATATCTGTACTGTCCTGACATTTGGGGGATATCTGTACTGTCCTGACATTTGGGGGATATCTGTACTGTCCTGACATTTGGGGGATATCTGTACTGTCCTGACATTTGGGGGATATCTGTACTGTTCTGACATTCTTGGACCTCATGAAATTAGATTGGCTGTCAGTACTTCAGGATTGATCAATATTCAGATCTATACCATAGTTTGTGTGAACTCTATAACTTTCCTACAAACTAAATAATACATCCTAATTTGGGTTATTTTCACCAAAGACATGTAGCAGAATACATCTCGGCCTAAATTTATGAAGAACAATTATTTATTTGTAAATTTTTATAACAGAAACAAAGAAAAATGTGTTTTTTTTTCAACATTTTTTTGTTTTTTTTGTTAATTTTAGCAAAAAATAAAAACCCCAGCGGTGATTAAATACCACCAAAAGAAAGCTCTAGTTGTGTGAAGAAAATGATAAAATTTTAGTTTGGGTACAGTGTTTTATGACCGCGCAATTGTCATTCAAAGTGTGAGAGCGCTGAAACCTGAAAAATGGCCTGGGCAGGAAGGGGTAAAATTGCCCGGTATTGAAACGGTTAAATATATTCTTCAGATTTTTTTTAAACATATAAAAACATCATTTTAACATATATTTTTTACATATATTTGTAAATGCATTCCAATAATGTAGATTATATGTATTTTTAAAGACATACAGTATATTTGAAAATGTATTTTTAAACATATTTTTCATATATTTTGTAATATATAAAAAACGCATTTCAATATACAGTGTGTATACAGTGGGGATCGAAAGTTTGGGCACCCTAGCTAAAAATACAGTGTATTAATGTGCATAAAGGCAGCCAAGGAAAGATGGAAAAATCTCCAAAAGGCATCAAATTACAGATTAGACATTCTTATAATATGTCAACAAAAGTTAGATTTTATTTCCATCATTTACACTTTCAAAATAACAAAAACAAAAATAAGGCGTCTGCAAAAAGTTTGGGCACCCTGCAGAATTTATAGCATGCACTGCCCCCTTTGCCAAATGCTGAGACCTGCCAGTGTTACATGCATGGATGTTCTCTCAAACATCGTCTTGGCAGACCAGGTGATGTCAATCTCAAAATTTTAAATGCCCAGACTCACTGACCTTGCCCCAACAATCAGCACCATGGGTTCTTCTAAGCAGTTGTCTAGAAAACTGAAACTGAAAATAGTTGACGCTCACAAAATTGTGGAGAAAATATAACAAGAAGATAGCAAAGCGTTTTCAGATGTCAATATCCTCTTTGTTCGGAATGTAATTAAGAAATGGCAGTCATCAGGAACAGTGGAAGTTAAAGCAAGATCTGGAAGACCAAGAAAAATATCAGACAGAACAGCTCGCAGGATTGTGATGAAAAACAAATTCAAAACCCACGTTTGACTGCAAAGATCCCTCCAGAAAGATCTGGCAGACACTGGAGTTGTGGTACACTATTCCACTATAAAGAGGTAATTGTACAAATATGTCTTCATGGAAGAGTCATCAGAAGAAAACCTCTTCTACGTCCTCACCACAAAAATCATTTGAACTTTGCAAATGAACATATAGACAAGCCTGATGCATTTTGGAAAAAGTTCTGTGGACCGATGAGGTTAAAAGATGAACTTTTTGGCCGGAATGAGCAAAGGTACTTTGGAGAAAAGGGCGGACAGAATTAATGAAAAGAACCTCTGTCCAACTGTTAAGCATGGGGTTGGATCAATCATGCTTTGGGGTTTGTGTTGCAGCCAGTGGCACAGGGCCTTGAACATTTCAAGGCAGTAGAAGAAAAATGGATTCAATAAAATTTTGGGTCAGCAAATTTTGGATGTCAAAAAGCTTGATGCCATCTGTGAAAAAGCTGAAGTTAAGAGAGAGGATGGCTTCTACAAATGGATAATGATCCTAAACACACTCGAAATCCACAGGGGATTACATCAAGAGGCGTAAACTGAAGGTTTTGCCATGGCCTTCACAATCTCCTGACCTCAACATAATTGAAAATCTATGGATAGACCTTAAAAGAGCAGTGCGTGACAGACAGCCCAGAAATCTCAAAGAACTGGAAGTTTTTGTAAGGAAGAGTGGGCAAAATACCTCAAACAAGAATTGAAAGACTCTTTGGCTGGCTACAAAAAGCGTTTACAAGTGTGATACTTGCCAAAGGGTGGCAGTACCAAGATATTAACTCTGCAGGTGCCCAAACTTTTGCAGACGCAGCCCATTTTTTGTTTTTGTGTTATTTTGAAAGTGTTTTCTGATGGAAATAAAATCTAACTTTTGTTGACATACATACAAAGAATGTCTAATCTGTAATTTGATGCCTTTTGGAGATTTTTTTCTTTCCTTGGCTTCTTTATGCATATTAATACAAATTTTTAGCTAGGGTGCCCAAACTTTCGATCCCCACTGTATATATATATATATATATATATATATATATATATATATAATAAATAAATATATATATATATATATATATATATTATATATATTTTGAATACGGCCAAAATTGTAGTATTTCAAGTATATCTCAATATATTTGGGAAGAATATCTCTTAAGTATATTTAAAATATATTTTTTTCTTCCATGTGGGAGTTTTACTATGACAAAGTTGCTGTAATAACAACAGATTCCCCATCATACGATATCACTTATTTTATATTACAACATCATATGACATGTCCTTACAATTACAGCTCCCTATTGGTCCCCTGAGATATACTCATACTCACCTCCAGCCTCCTCCGCTGCTGCTCTCTCTGCCCTAGATAACAGAAAAAAATATTTTATTGTTACAACAAAAAGCCCCAACATCCTAATTAATAATCGAACCTATGAACTGTAACACATGTTGGACTGTAATAATAGAGACACTCTGCAATATACTATATTATATGAAAAGATGGCCAACCACACCAAATTGTACTTTATCTAATCATATATCGAGAAACGCGCTTTATCAGGAACTTCAGTCCCTGTTAGTTTTGGCCCCGCCCCAACCATGACACTGCCGTGTTTATTATAATGGAGCATATGCAAACATGGCAAAGGGCTCTGCTTGGTCTTTGGATCCCGGGAGAGCCCTGCAACACACATCTGTGTACGCACAGTGGTTTTTCTGTGCATGCGCAGACTCGGTGAGCTTGGGATTTCCATACCAGCCCCATCTTCGTGCATGCGCAGGTGCGCAGAAAATCAACGGTGCGCAGATGTGTCATGGGGATCTGCTGGGACCTGTAGCTCTGCAGCACAACTGTACACATGCAGAATTTGAGGGATGGAGGGCCCATATGGAAGAAAAATATATTTGAAATATATTTTTAAAATATTCTTCCTAAATATATTGACATGTATTTGAAATACTAAAATTTTGGCCATATTCAAAATATATTTAAATATAAAAAAAAAAATATATATATATATATATACACACACATACTTTATGTTGAAGTGCATTTTTATTACAAAATATATTAAAAATATTTTTAAAATGACATTTCAAATATACTGTATGTGTTTAATAATACGTATGTGTAAGTATGTGTATGTGTAAGTCACCCTGTGCCTGTTATGCAGGGAGGGGGATTGTCCCCTGAGTGTATATATCTTGTATCTGTGTTCAAATAAAGTAATCTACCTTCTGGTTTACTTCAAGATTGGTGTCGTCTAGTCTTGTATGGTCGGCTGTGGTGTCTGTTGTCGGTGTTTGGATGGGGAAACAGTATTCGAATGGAAGTACTCAGCTCAGGCTGGGTTGGTTCCATTACACAGACCTTTAAAGTTCCTCCTTTGAACTAGCAGACTGATCACAGAAACACCCGCTTGTAGGTCCAAGGAGGATGTGATGTTCTGCTCTCACCTATTGATTGACAGCTGCAGTGCTGCACATAGCACCCTCAAAACGCAAACTGTAATCATCTGCCTGGCTCTTGCACCACTAACCTATGCTGTAGCACCACCCTAACTTTCTCCCGTGCAGCCCATGCATTTGGTAATACTGCCCAGAATAAGAAGAATTCTGACCTGACTCTGTCCCGTAGACTCTCTGGGACAATATCTTCCGGCGTCCATAGATCCTGCAACACAAATCAGTAATAGAAATATAATTATCTATGCCCCAGACACAGTTCTGTATATAGGGTGCAAAAACAGCACTAAACATAATAAAAGCTTAAAAAGAGATACATTACATTTTATATACTCCCACATGGAAGAAAAATATATTTAAATATATTTTTCAAATATTCTTTCCAAATATATTGACATATTTGAAATATATTATATATTATATACATACTGTATGTTGAAATGCGTTTTTATTACAAAATATATGTAAAAAATATTTTTAAAAATACATCAGATATACTGCATGTCTTTAAAAATACATTTAATCTACATTTTTAGAATGCATTTACAAATATATGTAAAATATGTTAAACTTACTGTTTTATAGGTTAAAAAAAAAAGCTGAAGAATATATTTGAAATAAATTAAAAAAATATATATATTTTTCATTTATTTTGTAATATATAAAAACGCATTTCAACACACACACATATATATATATATATATATATACCGTATTTTTCGCTCCATAAGATGCACCTGACCATAAGACGCACCTAGGTTTTTGAGGTGAAAAACAAGAAAAAAAATATTCTGAACCAATGGACTGCAGACACAGTACAGGAGATGACCAGAGACTGCAGACATAGTACAGGAGATGACCAGAGACTGCGGACACAGTACAGGAGATGACCAGAGACTGCGGACAGTACAGGAGATGACCAGAGACTGCGGACACAGTACAGGAGATGACCAGAGACTGCGGACAGTACAGGAGATGACCAGAGACTGCGGACACAGTACAGGAGATGACCAGAGACTGCGGATATAGTACAGGAGATGGCCAGAGACTGCGGACACAGTACGGGAGATGACCAGAGACTGCAGGCATAGTACAGGGGATGACCAGAGACTGCGGACACAGTACAGGAGATGACCAGAGACTGCAGACACAGTACAGTACGGGATGACCAGAGACTGCAGACACAGTACAGGGGATGACCAGAGACTGCGGACATAGTACAGGAGATGACCAGAGACTGCGGATATAGTACAGGAGATGGCCAGAGACTGCGGACATAGTACAGATGACCAGAGACTGCGGACATAGTACAGGAGATGACCAGAGACTGCAGGCATAGTACAGGGGATGACCAGAGAGTGCGGACACAGTACAGGAGATGACCAGAGACTGCAGACACAGTACAGGGAATGACCAGAGACTGCGGACACAGTACAGGAGATGACCAGAGACTGCGGACATAGTACAGGAGATGACCAGAGACTGCGGACATAGTACAGATGACCAGAGACTGCGGACATAGTACAGGAGATGACCAGAGACTGCGGACACAGCACAGGAGATGACCAGAGACTGCGGACACAGTACAGGAGATGACCAGAGACTGCGGACACAGTACAGGAGATGACCAGAGACTGCGGACACAGTACAGGAGATGACCAGAGACTGCGGACACAGCACAGGAGATGACCAGAGACTGCGGACACAGTACAGGAGATGACCAGAGACTGCGGACACAGTACAGGAGATGACCAGAGACTGCGGACATAGTACAGGAGATGACCAGAGACTGCGGACACAGTACAGGAGATGACCAGAGACTGCAGACATAGTACAGATGACCAGAGACTGCAGACAGTACAGGGGATGACCAGAGACTGCAGACAGTACAGGGGATGACCAGAGACTGCGGACCTTTAGGAGGGAGAGGGAGCGGGTACCTGAAATTGTCCCTTTAGCGTGGGCACGCTGGCTTCTTCCCGGTTTCTGTGACAGCCGGGTGCCCACTGCGCATGCGCAAGAAGCGCTGCGCTTTGTGAATGGCCCGGCGCCTTCTGGGACCTGTCATGTATCCCACAAGTCGCTGGACCATTCACAAAGCGCAGCGCTTCTCGCGCATGCGCAGTGGGCACCCGGCTGTCACGGAAGCCGGCACGGGAAGACTACAGCGCTGGACAGAGGAACAGGTAAAGTCCTGCAGGAGAGAAGAGCTGAGCGGCCGGCCCGGTATTCTGACATGGTGGCGGCGGCAGAAATACCGGACTGAGCGCTCCATATACGCTCCATAAGACGCACTGACATTTTCCCCCCTTTTTTGGGGGGAAAAAAGTGCGTCTTATGGAGCGAAAAATACGGTATATATATTGTACTTTTTTCAAATATATGTCAATATATTTGGGAAGAATATTTTCAAAATATATTTCAAATATATTTTTTTTCCATGTGGGTATGTATATATATATATAAACATGCCTTATACTGTATGCTATGTTGATGTCTTCCAACTACAGTTTACATAAAGCTTTGGATAAAAAGGATTGGCCCTCCTCCCATATCACTGCGTCATACTGTAGATGGCTAGCCAATGGTATGAAGCAATACAGACTGGAGATGAGGTCCAGCTGGATGGATCCATTCACATTCGGCCATGTGCCGATCTACATCTCACAGGATGATGGTACAGCAGGACCTTGTTATTAGGCAGAATGGATACGTATCTCCAGCAGTGCTATTTCCCCACCATGTTTTATTGGTGTCATAAAAAAAATATATATATATTTAGTTATTATTATTATTATTGTTGTATTATTACAGTGCCTGCAGTTTATGCAGAGAGTGGAGAGGATTGGCAGGGGAACTTTTCACAGGAAATGTGTGCATATATGATTTTCTTTCTGAATTAAAGGCTTTCTGTGCTCATACCTAATTAATTATACTGGACAGACACCAGCCGGTTGAATCCCTCAGTGCAGGGCCATAGATAAGTTTTTTTCCTTGGCAGGTTCGGCATCAGCTCCCACTTGTAACGATCCCATCCTCCAAGTACAGTACACAATACACCCCCACTGTATGGATTCCCTCCTGCAGTACAGATCTCCCCCTAGTACAGATCCCCTTCCCCCTGGGCAATTACACCCTAGTACAGATCTCCCTCCTCAGCACAGTTCCCCCTAGTAAAGAGCTACCCTTCCCACAATTAGTACAGCTCAGGGGTGGACTGACCATTCGAGCACTCGGGCACTGCCCAAGGGCCCAGGGGGGCCCCAGTAGATGGGTACCTTTCATTGGCTTTTTTATAGACTTTTTAGTGTGGGCAAGGATACGGGGCCCCATGTTTCCCTATTGCCCGGGGGCCCCATGAGTTGTCAGTCCGCCCCTGGTACAGCTTCCCCCAGTACAGATACCCCCCCCCCCCCCCCAACACACACAGACCAGTAGAGTTCCCCACCCCCCCTATGAATTCCACTCACCAGACCAGGCATTTCAAAGTGAGGGGAAGTCCTCCCTTAACTGTGTCATGTGACCAGAGCCAAGGAGGAGATAAGGAGAGCCTCCCTCCCTCTGAACTGCCACTACCTGTCTCTGAGTTCTGACAGAAGCACCAGCTGCAGTGCTTGTGCTATACAGCAACTGTCAGCAGTAGCTGTGGTGCCATAGATTTGGACCCCCTTATCCCCCTCCTTATCTACGCCCTTGCTTCATTGGCATCTTCTATGTTTTGAGGACATGTTGGTAAGTTAATTGTCTCCTTTCTAAATTGGCCCTATTATGTGTATGTACAGTATGCTACATGTGATGTAATGACCTTGTAAGCTAGTTGAGGATAGGGACTGACTTGCATGTAAAATGCTGCATATATTTTCAATGCTATATAAATACCTATAATAAATAAAACACGTTGGACAGATTTCTGGATGTGTTCCCAGCTAAGCCTACCTATCGGATGATAAAGGCAGGAGTCTTTGTCCCTGTTCAATATTTTAGCAATTTAAGAAATGTTGCCTTATGTATAATATGATAGAAGCCAAGAGACTCCCTTGTTTGACTTTGCAATGCTTGTGGTGGTGGAGCTGGAAAATCGGATGATTCAACCTATTGGTCTCCACCCTCATTTAAAACATCAGTCCTGACCAGACTGATCAGACAACCAGACAAAAGTACTGAAGGCATGCTGAAATTATTTCATTAGAATAAGTAGGGGACAAAATCTTCTCACCACCGTATCCAAACACCAAGAAATAAGGATTACCTGATCTGGAAACGGGATGTCCAGGTTTTCCATGGCATAATACAATAGCTTCTTCTCTGCCAATGACTGACGCACGTATGACACAATGCTCTATAAGATATGACACAAGCAGAAATTACTCAAATACATTATGGATGAGTTGGAAAAAATCTTCTACACCAGGGGTGGGCAACTGTGGCCCTCCAGTTGTTGTAGAACTAAAAGTCCCATAAGGCATTGCAGGATTGACAGTTACAAGCATGACTCCCAAAGGCAGAGGCATGATGGGACTTGTAGTTCACCAACCGCTGGAGGGCCACAGTTGCCCAGCCCTGTTCTACACTATATGGCCAAATGTTTGTGGACTCCATATGATGGAGTTCAGGGGTCTGAAGTGAAGGGTACTGTTAATACTACAGCATACAAAGACATTATAGGCAACTGTGTATTTCCAACCCTTGTGACAATAGTTTGGTGAAGGTAAATTTCTGTTCCAGCATGACTGTGCACAAAGTCAGCTCCATAAAGATATGGTTTGATGACTCTGGTGTGGAGGAACTCGAGTGGCCTCCACTGAGCCCTGACCTTGACCCTACTGAACACCAATGGGATAAATTGGAACACAACGTGACAATATACACAAAACAAGCTCCATAAAGATATGGTTTGATGACTCTGGTGTGGAGGAACTTGAGTGACCTCCACTGAGCCATGACCTTGACCCTACTGAACACCAATGGGATGAATTGGAACACAACGTGACAATATACACAAAACAAGCTCCATAAAGATATGCTTTGATGACTCTGGTGTGGAGGAACTTGAGTGACCTCCACTGAGCCATGACCTTGACCCTACTGAACACCAATGGGATGAATTGGAACACAATGTGACAATATACACAAAACAAGCTCCATAAAGATATGGTTTGATGACTCTGGTGTGGAGGAACTCGAGTGGCCTCCACTGAGCCATGACCTTGACCCTACTGAACACCAATGGGATGAATTGGAACACAACGTGACAATATACACAAAACAAGCTCCATAAAGATATGGTTTAATGACTCTGGTGTGGAGGAACTCGGGTGGCTCCACTGAGCCATGATCTTGACCCTACTGAACACCAATGGGATAATTTGGAACACAACGTGACGATACACACAAAACAAGCTCAATAAAGATATGGTTTGATGACTCTGGTGTGGAGGAACTCGGGTGGCCTCCACTGAGGTGTGACCTTGACCCTACTGAACACCAATGGGATGAATTGAAACACAACGTGACAATATACACAAAACAAGCTCCATAAAGATATGGTTTGATGACTTTGGTGTAGAGGAACTCAAGTGGCCTCCACTGAGCCCTGACCTTGACCCTACTGAACACCAATGGGATGAATTGGAACACCTATTGTAAGCCACATATTCTCATCCAACGTGACAATATACACAAAACAAGCTCCATAAAAATATGGTTTGATCAGTTTGTTGTGGAAGAACTCAAGTGGTCTTCACAGATATCTGACTTTACACCTACTAAACATAACTACTCAAAACCTAGCTGCATAAAGACATGGTTTAATGAGTTTGGTGTGGAGGAACTTGAGTGTCCTTCACAGAGCCCTGCCCTCAACCCCACGTAACACTTTAGGTATGAATTGGAGCACAAATTGTGAGCCAGGTCTTCTCATCCAACATGACAGTACACACGAGGCAAGCTCCATAAAGATATGGTTTGATGACTCTCGTGTGTGGAGGAACTCAAGTGGCCTCCACTGAGCCCTGACCTTGACCCTACTGAACACCAATGGGATGAATTGTAACAATGATTGTGAGACATGTCTTCTCATCCAACGTGACAATATACACAAAACAAGCTCCATAAAGACATGGTTTGATCGGTTAGACGTGGAAGAACTCAAGATCTGACCTCACTCCTACTGAACATGACTGTTTTCAAAGCCATCTGCATAAAGACATGGTTATTGAGTTTGGTGTGGAGGAACTTTAGCCCCAACCTCAGCCCTACTAAACACCTTTGAGATGATTTGGAACCCCAATTGTGAGAAACTTCTACTCATCCAACATCAATACCTGACCTCACAAATTACTTTTTCACACAAATATGATCTTACACCTTGTGGAAAGCCTCCCCATAGGAGTGGAGGCTCTTAGTAACAAACAGAGGCCCATTCCATATTGATGTCCATCATTTCAGGATGGAATAACTAACAAGCTCATTTTGGTGTGGTGCTCAGATGTCCACAAACATTTACCCATATACTGTATGTGGCCAATGGTGGATTAATAGGATTTTATTTAAAAGTTCCAATAGCCTGTAGATGAGGGGAGAAGGAAGAACCAGGGATGACAAAACATAAGGATTATAATCTTCTGGAGTTTACAAAAATTCATCTGAAGCTTACATTCTTGCACATTTATTGTGCCAAGCCATAAAACCGGAAATGGGTTCTAATTCTTCCCTAGTCTCTCCCAAGGTAGAAAAACATTTTATCTTCAGATATACTTTACTGCTAGATACAGATGGCAGATCGCTCATTTGATGCCTTGGCATTCTCCTTTTAGGAAGTTGCTGAGATACATCACGAAGGGTTATCAAACAACCAGCATGAAGATATATTTAAAAATAATGTTCCAACGCTTCCTAACAGCTTGAAAACTGCCTAACAGCAGCCTGCTAATTACACCATTTATGTCCATCGGAAGAGTTTGCGCTGAGTTAAAGCGGCTATTAGCAGATGATGACCATAAAATGCTGCAGAAAGAGTCTCAATTCCATGTGAAAATGTGCCAGATGTACATGCACCATCCATGTCCTTCATATTACGAATGCATGTAGTTAGCAGTTAAAAAGGCAGCGCATTAACTGTTTACTTCAGCTGTCAGAATAGTCAGCCTCAGGGTCAGTTGTGAATGGCGCTTTGCAGTTTGAAAGACGGGGACTTTGTTGGCACTGGATGAATATAATGACTCTGATGATATAATAAGCAACATTTATATAAGATGTTCTACAGTCTATGTGAGGGCTAGTTATCTTTGCTGCCCAAGGCAAACAGACAGATCCTTTCCTTCATTTACATGACCACATTAGAACAATGACAGCTGTAATCTGATTGGATCTCCATGTATAATACATAAGGGGGGATATGATCTCCATGTATAATACATAAGGGGGGATATGATCTCCATGTATAATACATAAGGGGGGGATATGATCTCCATGTATAATACATAAGGGGGGATATGATCTCCATGTATAATACATAAGGGGGGATATGATCTCCATGTATAATACATAAGGGGGGATATGATCTCCATGTATAATACATAAGGGGGATATGATCTCCATGTATAATACATAAGGGGGATATGATCGCCATGTATAATACATAAGGGGGGGATATGATCTCCATGTATAATACATAAGGGGGGGATATGATCACCGTGTATAATACATAAGGGGGATATGATCTCCATGTATAATACATAAGGGGGATATGATCTCCATGTATAATACATAAGGGGGATATGATCGCCATGTATAATACATAAGGGGGGGATATGATCTCCATGTATAATACATAAGGGGGATATGATCACCATGTATAATACATAAGGGGGATATGATCACCATGTATAATACATAAGGGGGGGGATATGATCTCCATGTATAATACATAAGGGGGGGGATATGATCGCCATGTATAATACATAAGGGGGGGATATGATCTCCATGTATAATACATAAGGGGGATATGATCTCCATGTACAGTGGGGATCGAAAGTTTGGGCACCCCAGCTAAAAATTTGTATTAATGTGCATAAAGAAGCCAAGGAAAGATGGAAAAATCTCCAAAGGGCATCAAATTACAGATTAGACATTCTTATAATATGTCAACAAAAGATAGATTTTATTTCCATCATTTACACTTTCAAAATAACAGGAAACAAAAAAATGGCGTCTGCAAAGGTTTGGGCCCCCTGCAGAGTTAATATCTTGTACTGCCCCCTTTGGCAAGTATCACAGCTTGTGAACGCTTTTTGTAGCCAGCCAAGAGTCTTTCAATTCTTGTTTGAGGTATCTTTGCCATTCTTCCTTTACAAAAGTCTTCCAGTTCTTTGAGATTTCTGGGCTGTCTGTCACGCACTGCTCTTTTAAGGTCTATCCATAGATTTTCAATTATGTTGAGGTCAGGAGATTGTGAAGGCCATGGCAAAACCTTCAGTTTACGCCTCTTGATGTAATCCCCCGTGGATTTCGAGGTGTGTTTAGGATCATTATCCATTTGTAGAAGCCATCCTCTCTTTAACTTCAGCTTTTTCACAGATGGCATCAAGTTACCATCCAAAATTTGCTGAAATTTTATTGACTCCATTTTTCCTTCCACTCTTGAGATGTTCCCTGTGCCACTGGCTGCAACACAACCCCAAAGCATGATTGATCCAACCCCATGCTTAACAGTTGGACAGAGGTTCTTTTCATTAAATTCTGTGCCCCTTCTTCTCCAAACGTACCTTTGCTCATTCTGGCCAAAAAGTTCAATTTTAACCTCATCGGTCCACAGAACTTGTTTCCAAAATGCATCAGGCTTGTCTATATGTTCATTTGCAAAGTTCAAACGATGATTTTTGTGGTGAGGACGTAGAAGAGGTTTTCTTCTGATGACTCTTCCATGAAGACCATATTTGTACAAGTATCTCTTTATAGTGGAATAGTGTACCACAACTCCAGTGTCTGCCAGATCTTTCTGGAGGGATCGTGCAGTCAAACGTGGGTTTTGAATTGTTTTTCTCACAATCCTGCGAGCTGTTCTGTCTGATATTTTTCTTGGTCTTCCAGATCTTGCTTTAACTTCCACTGTTCCTGATGACTGCCATTTCTTAATTACATTCCGAACAGAGGATATTGACATCTGAAAACGCTTTGCTATCTTCTTATAGCCTTCTCCAGCTTTGTGACTGTCAACTATTTTCAGTTTCAGTTTTCTAGACAACTGCTTAGAAGAACCCATGGTGCTGATTGTTGGGGCAAGGTCAGATGAGTCTGGGCATTTAAAACCTTTGAGATTGACATCACCTGGTCTTCCCAGACGATGATTGAGAACAATCCATGACACTGGCAGGTCTCAGCTTTGCAAAGGGGGCAGTGCATGCTATAATTTCTGCAGGGTGACCAAACTTTTGCAGACGCCATTTTTTTTTGTTTTCTGTTATTTTGAAAGTGTAAATGATGGAAATAAAATCTAACTTTTGTTGACATATTATAAGAATGTCTAATCTGTAATTTGATGCCTTTTGGAGATTTTTTCCATCTTTCCTTGGCTTCTTTATGCACATTAATACAAATTTTTAGCTGGGGTGCCCAAACTTTCGATCCCCACTGTATAATATATAAGGGGGGGATATGATCACCATGTATAATACATAAGGGGGGATATGATCACCATGTATAATACATAAGGGGGGATATGATCACCATGTATAATACATAAGGGGGGATATGATCACCATGTATAATACATAAGGGGGGGATATGATCTCCATGTATAATACATAAGGGGGGATATGATCCCATGTATAATACATAAGGGGGGATATGATCTCCATGTATAATATATAAGGGGGGATATGATCTCCATGTATAATACATAAGGGGGATATGATCTCCATGTATAATACATAAGGGGGGATATGATCTCCATGTATAATACATAAGGGGGGATATGATCTCCATGTATAATACATAAGGGGGGGATATGATCTCCATGTATAATACATAAGGGGGGGATATGATCTCCATGTATAATACATAAGGGGGATATGATCTCCATGTATAATACATAAGGGGGGATATGATCTCCATGTATAATACATAAGGGGGGGATATGATCTCCATGTATAATACATAAGGGGGATATGATCTCCATGTATAATACATAAGGGGGGATATGATCTCCATGTATAATACATAAGGGGGATATGATCTCCATGTATAATACATAAGGGGGGATATGATCTCCATGTATAATACATAAGGGGGGGATATGATCTCCATGTATAATACATAAGGGGGGATATGATCTCCATGTAATACATAGGGGGGATATGATCACCATGTATAATACATAAGGGGGGATATGATCTCCATGTATAATACATAAGGGGGGGATATGATCACCATGTATAATACATAAGGGGGATATGATCTCCATGTATAATACATAAGGGGGGATATGATCTCCATGTATAATACATAAGGGGGGATATGATCTCCATGTATAATACATAAGGGGGATATGATCTCCATGTATAATACATAAGGGGGGGATATGATCTCCATGTATAATACATAAGGGGGATATGATCTCCATGTATAATACATAAGGGGGTGATATGATCTCCATGTATAATACATAAGGGGGGGATATGATCTCCATGTATAATACATAAGGGGGGGATATGATCTCCATGTATAATACATAAGGGGGGATATGATCTCCATGTATAATACATAAGGGGGATATGATCTCCATGTATAATACATAAGGGGGATATGATCTCCATGTATAATACATAAGGGGGGATATGATCTCCATGTATAATATAATAAGGGGGGGATATGATCTCCATGTATAATACATAAGGGGGGGATATGATCTCCATGTATAATACACAAGGGGGGATATGATCTCCATATATAATACATAAGGGGGGATATGATCACCATGTATAATACATAAAGGGGGGGGTATGATCTCCATGTATAAATACATCAGTGGTTCATATAGTGAACTCGGTGTAGAGTTATTCCCCCTGAGGTCATCACAGAGGACAAGGGGGCACTCTTTACATCTGGAGGAAAAGAAATATAATCTCCAAACATGGAAAGGTTTCTTCACAGTAAGAGCTGTGAAAATGTGAAATAGATTCCCTCAAGAGTTGGTTCTGGCCAGCTCAGTGGATTGCTGTAGGAAAGTCCTGGATTCTTTCCTAGATGCACATAATGTAACTGGATATAACATTTATAGGTAAAGTTGATACAGGGAATATCCGATTGCCTCTCAGGGGATCAGGAAGGAATTTTTTCCCTGCAGGAGAAAATTGGATCATGCTTTGCTGGGTCTTTTGCCTTCCTCTGGATCAACTATGGGTGTAGGATTATAACTTTTTTTTTTTTTTATATATGGTTGGACTGGATGGACTTTTGTCTTTTTTCAGCCAGACTAACTATGTAACTATGATGGCTTCTTGGATCCATCATGTGTTTTTGGTAATATTTACAGTGGTTAATGTCATAAAAGTCAAAATGGGACCATTCAAAATCCAAATCCCCAATCAATTGTGGGTGTAGGATTATAAAAAAAATTTTTTTAATGGTTGAACTGGATGGACTTTTATCTTTTTTCAGCCAGACTAACTATGTAACTATGTAAGTATGATTACTCCATGGAAGGTTAAAAAGTACCAAAACACAAATATGTATGAAGAGTTTTGTTTACACCTAGTATAGAAGGCTAATTTTTTATCACAAATTCGTTTTGCCTTCAAATCTTTCTGGTCTGTGGCACAGAAAGTTACCTCTCGTGGTTTTTCCTCCAGTCTTTTCTCCAAGTTTGTTGTTATAGCGCTGCAGTTTCTTCATAATGGACTCTTTATGAGGGTGGAAGAGTAATAACGATTTGGCGATCTCTGTAGCGGACTCCCATTCTCCAACTGCGGACAACAGAATTAAAGGGACAGTAAATTGGATTGGATCAAACTAATATACCTGCACCACATTTCTTAAAACAACATATATATATATATATGTATAGTAAGAAAAATAATTATTTGATCCCCTGTATATTTTCTAAGTTTGCCCACTTACAAAGAAATGAAGGGTCTATAATTTTTATCATAGGTGTATTTTAATTGATAAGAGACAGAATATCAGCCAAAAATCAAGAAAAAACACAGGATACAAATGTTATAAATTGAGCTGCAGTTCAGTGAGTAAAATAAGTATTTGATCCTCTACCAACCAACAATAATTCTGGCTCCCAAAGACTGGCTATGTGCTCATGTGGTACACAGATTGGTCCTGTCAATTTAAGAAGGTGCTCGTAATGATAACTCGTTATGTGTATAAAAGACACCTGTCCACAGAATCTCATTCTTCCTCATCATCGTAGCCAAGACCAAAGAGCTGTCAAAGGACGTCAGGGACAAGATTGTAGACCAGCACAAGGCTGAAATGGGCTACAAGACCATCAACAAGAAGCTTGGGGAGAAGGAGACAACTGTTGGAGTGATTATTCGCAAATGGAAGAAATACAAAATAACCATCAATCTCCCTCGGTCTGGAGCTCCATGCAGGATTTTGCCTCATGGGGTAAGGGTGATCATGAGAAAAGTGAGGGATCAACCCAGAACTACATGGGAGGAGCTTGTGAATGATCTCAAGGCAGTTGGAACCACAGTCATCAAAAACTGTTTCTCTGCTAAAGGTACAGGCAGACTTTGCCACATTGAGGGACATGTATTGTAAGATCTTGGACAAGAACCTTCTCCCGTCAGCCACAACACTGAAGATGGGTCTTCCAGCATGACATCGACCCAAAACATTCCACCAAGGCAACAAAGGAGTGGTTCAAGAAGAAGCATATTAAGGCCATGGAGTCTCCAGACTTTAATCCTATAGAAAATTTATGGAGGGAGCTGAAACCTTGAGTTGCCAAGCAACAGTCAAGAAACCTTAAGGATTTAGAGAAGATCTGTAAAGAAGAATGGACCAAAATCCCTCATCCCTCAAAGAATGGACCAAAATGTGTGCCAACCTGGTAACCAACTACAAGAAACGTCTGACCTCTGGGCTTGCCAACAAGGGTTTCTCCACCAACTACTAAGCCATGTTTTGCTTGGGGATCCAATACTTATTTTACTCACTGAACTGCAACTCCATTTATAACATTTGTATTAAGTATTTTTTCTGAATTTTTGGTTGATCATCTGTCTCTATCATTTAACCTCCCTAGTGGTCTGATTATGTCCATATTTCTGTGCTCAAAGCGGTACATTTTTTTGCATGGAAATATGTAGTTTTTTTTATTGTAGGCCTGTAATTTTTTTAGGAATAACTCACTGAAATCTGTCCGAACAAGAGTCTAGTAAACATCCCGGGGATGATAAAATTTGAAACACGAAATCATAAATTATAATTTAATAAATAATCATAAAAAATAATATAATAATAATACATTTAATTCAATAATATAATCAAACTAAAAACACTGAAATGTGAAACAGAGCGCCAAGTTCGCATATCACTGAGCAAAGTCGCAAAATCGTTTTCAGTGTCTGATGAGGAATTTTTCCCACGAATCATTATCACTCAATTCTGCAAGTGGTTCTGATTTCCTATCGCTGTTCTCTAGCCGGTCTAAAACCGCTTTTGACCTAAAGGGACGCTTTTTGGACGCCATGGACGTTTCTCAGTTTCCAGGCAGAAAGAACAGTAAAAATGCAGGCAGGGCGCCGGACAAAGCACTCGGGACAAAATGTATGTGAAATGGTTTGATACAGGAATGTTATACTATGTGATTTTAGTGATTTTAATGAATGTCACTTTTTGTCATTTTCAAATTTCCCACCAGTTCCGTCCCCCCGTACGTCCCGACGTCGCAGGGAACGGAACCCGGAAGACAGATGCCGGCATCCGCCGGATTACATTGCCGGGGACACTGCAGGAGGGACATCGCAGGAGCGCAGGACAAGGTAAGTGAAGAACAGATGCCGGAGCAGCACCGCATGGTAAGCCCGAGTGTAGCTCGGGGTTACTGCTTCTGGTACTGAAACTTTACCCCGAGCTACACTCGGGAATACCGTCAGGGAGGTTAAAAAATACACCTATTCTTGGATACACAGAATATAACTGGATATAACATTTATAGGTAAAGTTGATCCAGAGAATATCCGATTGCCTCTCAGGAGATCAGGAAGGAATTTTTTCCCTGCAGGAGCAAATTGGATCGTGCTTTGCTGGTTTTTTTGCCTTCCCCTGGATCAACTGTGTGTGTAGGATTCTAAGAAATAGGAGGGGAGATGGGCACCAGTGGCAGCTCCCTCCAGAGTGAAGCCGAGGCTCTGTAAGCTCTATGAGAAAAGAACACAGAGGGGTAGCAGACTAGGTGCAGTATATTGACAGTCCCATTTAAGTAGAATACTTACTGGATCACCATGGAGTCCTTCCTACATGGTTTTAAATGCCTAATCATATCTGTCTGATAGTGATTTCCCAATTTGCTTATCTTTAGTAAACGTAACTGTCAATATACTGCACTTAGTGTGGCGCCCCTCTGTATTCTTTTCTCATATGGTATAGGATTAAACCTTTTTTTTTTTTCTGGTTGAACTGGATGGACTTTTGTCTTTCTTCAGCCAGACTATGTAACCTATGATAGACATTATAGACCCCCCCCCCCCCCCCCCCCATTTCCTTGTAAGTGGGCAAACGTACAAAATCTGCAGGGGATCACATAACTATTTTCCCCACTGTCTATATATATGTATATATATATATATACACATATGCACACACACATGCTCATGTATACACCGATCAGTCATAATATTCTGACCACTGCCAGGTTAGATTAATAACATTGATTATCTCCTTACCATGGCATCTGAAAATGGGTGGGATTTATTAGGGAGCAATTACAAGCAAAGTTGATGTGTTGAAAGCAGAAAAATTGACATTGCAGTTTGTTGTGTATGGGGCTGTGGGCCAGGAGACCATGCTAACCCATGTCCACAGCCAAAAGTGCCTACAATGGGCACGTGAGCATCTGAACTGGACCACGGAGCAATGGAAAAAGGTGGCCACGTTTCCTTTTTCATGTGGCTGGCCGGATGTGTGTGCGTCACTTACCTGGACAATGCTCCCTGCTACACTACAAAAATGGCTCAAGATTGGCTTGAGGAACACAATAACGAGTTTAAGACGTAGACTTGACCTCCTAATTCTCCAGATTTATATCCAATCAAGTATCCATGAGATGTGCTGGAAAAACAAGTCTGATCCATGGAGGCCCCACCTCACAACTTACAGGACTTAAAGGATCTGCTATTGACAGCTTGGTGCCAGCAGATACCACAGCATACCTTCAGAGGACTAGTGGTGTCCATGCCTTGATGGGTCTGGGCTGGCTGGGGGACCTACTCAATGTTAGATGGGTGGTCATAAAGTTATGGCTGATCGTTGTATACTGTGAATTAAGGGGGTTAGTCAAGTGTTCATGTAATTCAATAGGACTAGGGGCGGACTGACCATTTTGAAACTCGGGCACTGCCCGAGGGCCCGGGGTCAGTAGGGGGCCCCATGAGATGCCCCTGTTACCTTTTTCATAGGCTTTTTTGAATTTGGGCAAGGACACAGGGGCCTCATGATCCCCTATTGCTTGGGGGCCCCTATGAGTTGTCAGTCCGCCCCTGAATAAGACCAATATAATAATATGGCCTCTAAGATATTCTTATGCATGTTGGAGATTTAATAAGCTGGTAAAATAATATTGAAATTAGAATGTGATTGGCTCCCTTTAATGTTTGAGTTATATGGTCCCATGCATGGCTAGAAGAAACTTACGCTGGGAGTAGGTGTCCTCCAGCAATTGCAGATGAGACACAATGGAATCTTGCTTTGGACGTTTGCGCCCCGGCACCAAGGTGAGATCTAGAATACAGCGCTGCTTACATTGCAATACCTGAGTGTAATAATCTGCAGGAGAGAAAGAAGAGACGTGAGCCATCAGCATAGGGAGGTGATATATTATATACATTATGTAGTCTGTCTCTAACAATAACACGGCAGTTTTTATTTTTCTCCCCATCAGTAGATTTGTTTTTTTCCACTTCTTAGAATGGGCCAAGCTGTCCAACAAAAGTGTCAGTTACAGGGTTTGGCCAAAACATTTAACACATTAAAGCAGAACCAAAGTCACTATACTGAGCTCCCCGGCATCACCATCGTTTCCCTGGGTGCTGGCCTTTGGGCAGTTTCATTTTCCTTCCTCTGGATCAACTGTGGTGTAGGATTATAACTTTTTTTTTTTTTTTTTTATGGTTGAACTGGATGGACTTTTGTCTTTTTTCAGCCAGACTAACTATGTAACTATGTGACATGGGATGATGCAACTCCTGCACGAGCATCACTCATCCCACAGAGGGACCATACTGGTGATGTAAACTGAGCTGCGCTAAATGCCACCGAAAACTGTGAGCCGGCAGGTATGAGTATTTTATTGCAGAAGAGACACTGCATGTCTGGTCTCCATTAGCCTACTTGCTTTCAATTTTTTTTAAAGGCCTTCAGTTCTGCTTGAAGAGTGTATCAAGTGGCTGACAGCGAACCTGCCTAACCAGCTCACAGACCCACAAGGAACCAAGGGAGAAATGGAAATGGAGGACAAAGGCTCCAGAGCTCCGGGAGGGCCATGGAGATGGAGAAGGAGTGCTGTAAGGGGAGCAGGGAACTTAGGAAATGGAGCCAAGAAACAATTTACATGATTCACAGCACACCCATTTTTTTCTTACTGTGCATCACTCTCACCCAATTTCTCCTCAGGCCAAAACATATCTTTCCCACCTATCTTGCCCCTAGGTCATAGTGCACTCCTCCCACCTACCTCCCCTCCAGCTAACAGCGCACTTTTCCCATCCACCTCACCCCTAGCATGGCCCTTCCACCCACCTCGCTCCTTGGCTCACAGAGCATCCCTCCCAACGAATGTGCCCCTTAGCTCACAGCGCATTCAATCCAACAATCTCTCTCCCTCAGCTCATAGCACATCCCACCAACCTTGCCAAACCAACTTCCAGCGCATTCCTTTAATCCACCTTACCCCTAACTCACAGCACATTCCTTCCTTCCATCCACCTTACCCCCAACTCACAGCACATTCCTTCCTTCCATCCACCTTACCCCCAGCTCACAGCGCATTCCTTCCTTCCATCCACCTTACCCCCAGCTCACAGCGCATTCCTTCCTTCCATCCACCTTACCCTCAACTCACAGCGCATTCCTTCCTTCCATCCACCTTACCCTCAACTCACAGCGCATTCCTTCCTTCCATCCACCTTACTCCCAACTCCACAGCCCATTCCTTCCTTCCATCCACCTTACCCCAAACTCCCAGCCCATTCCTTCCTTCCATCCACTTTACCCCCAGCTCATAGTGCATTCCTTTCTTCCATCCACCTTACCCCCAACTCACAGCGCATTCCTTCCTTCCATCCACTTTACCGCCAACTCACAGCCCATTCCTTTCTTACATCCACCTTACCCTCAGCTCAGCTCACAGCGCATTCCTTCCATCCACCTTACCTCCAGTTCACAGCACATTCCTTCCATCCACCTTACCCCCAACTCACAGAGCATTCCTTCCATCCACCTTACCCCCCAGCTCACAGAGCATTCCTTCCATCCACCTTACCCTCAGCTCACAGAGCATTCCTTCCATCCACCTTACCCCAGCTCACAGAGCATTCCTTCCATCCACCTTACCTCCAGTTCACAGCGCATTCCTTCCATCCACCTTACCTCCATCTCACAGCACATTTCTCCCATACACCTTACCCCCAGCTCACAGAGGATTCCTTCCATCCACCTTACCTCCATCTCACAGCACATTCTCCCATACACCTTACCCCCAGCTCACAGAGCATTCCTTCCATCCACCTTACCCCAGCTCACAGAGCATTCCTTCCATCCACCTTACCTCCAGTTCACAGCGCATTCCTTCCATCCACCTTACCTCCATCTCACAGCACATTTCTCCCATACACCTTACCCCCAGCTCACAGAGGATTTCTTCCACCCACCTTGCTCCCCAACTCACAGCAGATTCCTTCAACCAACCTTGCCCCAAACTCACAGTGCATCCCTTCCACCCTCCTTGCTCCCCGACTTACAGAGCATTCCTTCCATCCACCTTGCCCCACAAATCACAGGGCATTCATTCCATCCATCTTACCCTCAAGCTCACAGTGCATTCCTTTGATCCTCCTTACTCCCCAGCTCACAGCGCATCCATTGCTCCCACTTTACCCCCAGCTTACAACACATTCAGCCCTCCCACCTTGTCTCCTTAGATTTAGATGCACCCCCTCACTTGGCCTGTATAATGTACAATGTACACCAGTGCTCAGACTACCCTGTCCACAGGTGACAAAGATGCAGCAATGTTACGGCAGAGAGAAAAAAACCAGACCTACTGGTACAGTAAGTTGTTTTTTATTTTGCACATTGTTCTACCCAATGTAAACCGGAATCTCTCTTTACATCCTCTGACAACAGCTGGCAGAAGACTGTTCAACCTCAAGAGATGAGCCACGATTCTGGACACAGTGCCATTTCGCAGGCCTGGAAAGTTATCCATGCCACAGGAAGGGGAGCTTTTGGAAGCAAGTTAAACTTTTAGTGCTGTTCCATGTTTCCCTCGAAATACAGTGGCCAGTCCGAGAGGTACTGACCTCAGGAGCTGGGAGTCTGTGGTTAGGTACCTGCAATCACCTCGGATATCTCTTGGTGAGTTTGGTTCTCCTTCTCTCGGGTTCCCTCACAGAGGGTACGACACTCACGAAGCGCAGACAAACAGGCGGATAATGACTCCTCCAGTTTCAGTACCGCAGAAGCCAGTTTACCCTGAGACAGCAAAGACTTGGCCTGGGAGAAGAGTGTCTAAAAAGAAGGAGCAAAAGAGGACCATGACAATGGAGAATTATGGGTGGACTGCACTTGCATGTACACATACAGCTTTGACAGTAGGAATGTCTCATATGGCAATTACTCAATAGTTAATAAAGAATATGTGCATCTTTAAAAGCCATTTAATACAACCAAGCTTTCAGATATAAGTTTCCATCCTTGCTCTTGCTGTCAGCTGAGAACTATACTTGGATCATTAATGGTCCTACCAGCCAACAGTCAAGTAGGTAACCCAACTTTTTTCTGCTGCAGTTAAGCAGCACATCTTGGTCACTGACTTACAACCAGCCAGTCGTTGGAATAATGAAGATGAAGCAACACACTGCCGCATCTCGCTATCATTCTCCCACCTTGTTCAAATGGTTGACCTAAAGCATTGTGGAAAGCCATGGCACTTTCACTGGAGCAGATGTTTTGGGGACTTCTGCTCACCTTGGAGTTCTGGGAGCTATCACCCCTCCTTGGAGTTCTGGGGCTTCCGCTTACCTTGGAGTTTTGGGGACTTTGTCCACCGTGGAGTTCTCGGGTCTTCCACCTACCTTGGACTTCCAGGGGCTCCTTTTCACCTTGGGGTTCTGGAGGCTCCCATCCACCTTGGAGTTTCAGGGGCTCCCACCCACCTTGGAGTTCTGAGGACTCTCACCCACCTTGGAGTTCCAAGAGCTCCCACTCACCTGAGAGTTTTGAGAATTTTGTCTACCTTGGAGTTCTAGGGTCTTTCACCCACCTTGTAGTTCCAGGGGCTCCTTCCCACCTTAGGGTTCTGGAAGCTCCCATCCATCTTGACGTTCTGAGGACTCGCACCCGCCTTGGAGTTCTGAGGACTCTAACCCCCTTTGGAGTTCTGAGGACTCTCACCTGCCTTGGAGTTCTGAGGACTCTCATCCGCCTTGGAGTTCTGAGGACTCTCATCCGCCTTGGAGTTCTGAGGACTCTCATCCGCCTTGGAGTTCTGAGGACTCTCATCCGCCTTGGAGTTCTGAGGACTCTCATCTGCCTTGGAGTTCTGAGGACTCTCACCCGCCTTTAAGTTCTGAGGACTCTCACCCACCTAGGAGTTTTCAGGGCTCCTGATTTTTGGCTCCCGAGTTTTGGAGACTTTGCCCACTGTGGAGTTCTGGGGTCTCCCACCCACCTTGAAGTTCTGAGGACTCTCACCCATCTTGGAGTTCCAGGGGCTCCTACCCACTTAGGAGTGCTTGGGGCTCCCACTCCTGCAGCATCCTCTGTAACAATGAATAACTTAAAAATCCATAAGGAAGAAGAAAACTTTCATAATGGCTTGTGTACCTTGTGTAAAGGCTTGGGGAGTCACCCTGTTTCCACCAACCTTGGGGCTACTGCCTATCTAGAGTTATGGAGACTCTTGCCCTTCTTGAAGTTGCAGGGATTTTTACTTACCTTGAAGCTGTGGTGGCTTTCACGCACCTTGAAGCTACAGGTGCTCCCGACCCTCTTGGAACTTCAGGTGCTACCACTCCTCCTGCAGCATTCTACATAACCTAGAATAAATCAATCCAAACGTTTAGGGTAGTGTTTGATATCTTACCCTGTAAGGAGGCTCCTCCAAGTCTCGAAGGCTCTGCTGCTGAACCCCTTTCATCTTTCGGTAACGTTGGAGATCATCCTGGATCTGCTCATGGTGCGGATTCCTTGTGAAGAACGTAAATGCAGCAGCTGCAGCTTCATCCAACTCCTCCAACTGGGAAAGAGAAACCTGTCAGTCATGAGTATATATCACAAGAACCTTTATGCAAAGCAGCTACCCCATTGGTGTCCCACTGGTGGCCCCAAGTGCACATCTTTCCTTAATGTTTTCTATTTACATAATTTAATAGGAGGACAAAACACTAAAAGAATCAGAGATATTGAAGAAAACATTTGGTAAAGATTTCTTGAATTTTCATTTAAGGGGATTCTGTGATTTGTCAATGCAGGGCAAGGCAAACGTTTTACTTAATTGCTGCACTCCCCAGCTGCTCATACTCACCTTTTATTCACCTCCTAACCAGTCTGTTTGGCTGCTATGAGCAAAGACAAATACCCAATACTTACAAGTACAGAGAGCCATTTGACAGATTTCCTTTTCTCCTATGTGGCTGTTTAATTGCTTAGTGATTGGTTGCCCAGACACTTGGTGCAGTTTTACAGGTGGAGGCCACTGACATTTTTTTCCCTGCTCATCTTTTCTGACTGTTTTTCATTAGTTTTGCATTTGGCTAGGGTCAGTGTCACTACTGGTAGCATGAGGCCATACCTAGGACCCTACAGAGGTTGCACAGGTAGTCCAACTCCTCCAGGATGGCACATCAATACGTGACATTGCCAGAAGGTTTGCTGTGTCTCCCAGCAGTCTCAAGAGCATGGAGGAGATACCAGGAGACAGGCAGTTCCTCTAGGAGAGCTGGACAGGGCCGTAGAAGGTCCATAACCCATCAGTAGGACCGGTATCTGCTCCTTTGTGCATGGAGGAACAGGATGAGCCCTGCCAGAGCCCTACAATGACCTCCAGCAGGCCACTGGTGTGAATGTATCTGACTAAACAATCAGAAACAGACTTCATGAGGCTGGCCTGAGGGCCCGACGTCCTCTAGTGGGCCCTGTGCTCACTGCCCGGCACCATAGAGCTGCATTGGCATTGGCCATTGAACCCCAGAATTGGCAGGTCCACCACTGGCACCCTGTGCTTTTCACAGATGAGAGCAGGTTCACCCTGAGCACATGTGACAGACGTGAAAGGTTCTGGAGAAGCCGCGGAGAACGTTCTGCTGCCTGTAACATGGTTCAGCATGACTGTATTGGTGGTGGGTCAGTGATGGTCTGGGGAGGCATATCCATGGAGGGACGCAGAGACCTCTACAGGCTAGACAATGGCAACCTGACTACCATTAGGTATGGGGATGAAATCCTTGGACCCATTGTCAGACCCTACGCTGGTGCAGTGGGTCCTGGGTTCCTCCTGGTGCAGTGGGCCCTGGGTTCCTCCTGGTGCAGTGGGTCCTGGGTTCCTCCTGGTGCGGTGGTTCCTGGGTTCCTCCTGGTGCGGTGGGTCCTGGGTTCCTCCTGGTGCGGTGGGTCCTGGGTTCCTCCTGGTGCGGTGGGTCCTGGGTTCCTCCTGGTGCAGTGGGTCCTGGGCTCCTCCTGGTGCACGACAATGCCCGGCCTCATGTGGGGAGAGTATGCAGGCAGTTCCTGGAGGATGAAGGAACTGATACCGCTGAATGGCCCCCACGCTCGCCTGAACTAAATCCAATAGAACCCCTCTGGGATATCATGTTTCGGCCCATCCAACTCCGCCAGGTTGCACCTCAGACTGTCCAGGAGCTCAGTGATGCCCTGGTCCAGATCTGGGAGAAAATCCCCCAGGACACCATCCGTGGTCTCATTAGGAGCCCCCATCCCCCGACGTTGTCAGGCATGCATACAAGCACGTGGGGGCCACACAAACTACTGAGGACCATTCTGAGTTGCTGCAATGACATTTCAGCAAAATGGACTCGCCTGCTGCATCATTTTTTCACTTTGACTTTCGGGGTGTCTTTGAGTTCAGTCCTCTGTAGGTCGGTCATTTTCATTTCCATCAAACGATGGGGGATCCTTACGTTCCTCACACATCACCCCGTCCATGTCAGTATAGAGATCCAGCAGGAGATTCCTCCCCATTGAGATCTGATGGGTTTTTTTGAGCAGTGTCACATCAGTCCCCGAAGAGAAGATGATTTCCTGCGATTTGCAGTGCGATTTCCATTATATTCTATGTAGGTGAAATCGCAACAAAACTGCAGAAAAAGTCATGCAAGAACTGCTTTAGAGATCGCACCGCAGCAAATCACACGTTAAGACACCGACATTCACATTCATTAGATGCATTTTCAGGTGCGATTTTCAATTCGCAAATTGCACCTGAAATCGCACCGGTGTGACCGGCACTACATTTTTTTGGTTTTTTTAACCTTTGCTATAGATTTTTCAAATTCATCCTTGGACTTCTTGGTTGTAAAAAGATGAGGGTGCCTGTTCCCGCCGTATGCGGGGTTCACACTGACTTTACAGCGTTTTCAGTGCGAAGTCCACACCCCATCAGAATCGCACCCCGTTCATGTGACCCGCTGTGAGTATGTTAAGTTAACAACACCCCGAAAGTGGTCTGCAAAACGCGGTGCGATGGACAGAATCGGATCTCATAGGTGTGAATACCCGTGCGGTCCGATTCTAGTGCGGATCCAAAAAAGGATCCTGCACGTTTTTGGTGCGGTGCGATTAGAGCCATACATGATGCACTGCTCCGATTGCACCGCACACAAATCGCATGTGATTTGCGCAGGAGTGCGGTGCAGTTCCTGTGCGAATCACATGCGATATACCGCACCGCATGTATGTGAACCCAGGCTGAATGGACTAAAAAAAACGCATGCATTGGTGTGAACCAGGGCGCAGGGCTTGTGCATACCAGCAGCACGGTCCTGATGCAAGAACACGCCAGTTTTTCGCATGTACTACGGTCCCTCAGTTCACCCCCAACATGCTACGCTGGTGAACGTTGGAAAATAAAAAAAAAAAAAGGATGTCTGGAACAGGGGCGGACTGACAACTCATAGGGCCCCCGGGCAATAGGGGATCATGGGGCCCCTGTGTCCTTGCCCAAACTCAAAAAAGCCTATGAAAAAGGTACCAGGGGCATCTCATGGGGCCCCCTACTGACCCTGGGCCCTGAGTTTCCAAATTGTCAGTCCGCCCCTGGTCTGGAATTTTTGCGCAGCTGGTTGGTCGCTCTGTATCGATTTGCACTGCAGAGAATTACATTAGAATTACAACGAAAAAAAAAACCCACTACCGTGTGATTGGACAAGGAATCGCAGTGCATGTTTGGACAAGGAATCGCAGTGCGTGTTTGGACAGGGAATCGCAGTGCGTGTTTGGACAGGGAATCGCAGTGCGTGTTTGGACAAGGAATCGCAGTGCGTGTTTGGACAGAGAATTGCAGTGCGTGTTTGGACAAGGAATCGCAGTGCGTGTTTGGACAAGGAATCGCAGTGCGTGTTTGGACAGGGAATCGCAGTGCGTGTTTGGACAAGGAATCGCAGTGCGTGTTTGGACAGGAATCGCAGTGCGTGTTTGGACAAGGAATCGCAGTGCGTGTTTGGACAAGGAATCGCAGTGCGTGTTTGGACAGAGAATCGCAGTGCGTGTTTGGACAAGGAATCGCTGTGCGTGTTTGGACAGAGAATCGCAGTGCGTGTTTGGACAGGGAATCGCAGTGCGTGTTTGGACAGAGAATCGCAGTGCGTGTTTGGACAGGGAATCGCAGTGCGTGTTTGGACAAGGAATCGCAGTGCGTGTTTGGACAGAGAATCGCAGTGCGTGTTTGGACAAGGAATCGCAGTGCGTGTTTGGACAAGGAATCGCAGTGCGTGTTTGGACAAGGAATCGCAGTGCGTGTTTGGACAGAGAATCGCAGTGCGTGTTTACGCCGTATACCTGCGTTTGTGCGATTTGAACCCCATTCATGGGACTTTCCATATCGGACGAGGATACTGCGAGTGGCAGGCAGGAGCTGCATTGGAATGAATGAGGAAGATTTTCCAGCTGCCAACTCATCCTCTACATATGGATCATGCAGGTTCTGGGGCTGAAAAGGACCAATCAGATCTCATCACACAAAAAGAGATGAAAGGATGTGATTGTTTATAGTTACATCTCTTCTGTTTACAAACATTGATACAATGTAACTATCAAGTAACAACTATCCTCCGCCCATCCCCCACTCTACACTCTACATATCCACGTGTGCAAACCAGGCTACACTGCAATGCATGCTGGTCCTGGTCACTACCCTCCCCCACATGTCAGCCTGGGGACCCCCCCTCCTCCTCCAGGGGGAAAGTCCTGTATGGTGCACCTAGACATCAGGCTGGGACAGGACTGCAGAGGATTGCATCCATCACTCTGCAGAGCATTGCACCCACTTTGCAGATGTTTGCACACTTTCCTGTACAAGACATTCATCCTCCTGTACAGCCAAAGCAGAACGTTCTGGGATTGCAGAACATTGCACTTATTTTCTGCAGAGCATTGCACCCAATGAACTGAATGGTATTGTGCTCTTTGAGGCATGGTCCGTGTTAACTGCAGAGCATTGCACCCAGGGCTCAATGAGCGCAGCAGATTATGTTACCATGTATGCTGAAGAGCATTGCACCCACTTACACAGCGCTGGATCTATGCTCTGCAGAATATTGCACCCACATACATTTCACAGGTTCCATGTGTTGCAGAATATTGCGTCCACATACATTTCACTGGATCCATGTTCTGCAGAGCATTGCTGCCAGATACATATCACTGGATCCATGTTCTGCAGAGCATTGCACCCAGGTACATATTAAATCCATGCTCTGCAGAATATTGTGCCCACATTTCACTTGATCCCATGCTCTGCAGAGCATTGTGCCCAGTACACAGCACTGATCCATGCTCTGCGAAGCACTGCGCTCAGGTACACAGCACTGGATCCATGCTCTGCGAAGCACTGCGCTCAGGTACATAGCACTGGACCCATGCTCTGCAGAGCATTGCAACCAGGGCTCAGTTAGCACATATGCTACACAATGATGGGACATCTACTCAGGCAGGCACAGCAAATTATTTGAATATGTATGTCGAAGAGCATTGCACCCATCTACATATCATTGCATCCATTCTCTGCAGAGCATTGCACCCAGGTGCTGGCCACTTCACCCATACTTAGAGAAACATTCTTCCCAGTTGCACAGCACATGCACTAAACTCTGCAGAGCATTGCATCCAGTTCCAGACCACTTTACCCCTACATTGACATACACTACCCAGACCCTGCAGAGCATTTCACCAAGTTATATCCGACTGCTCTCTAAACTTGCAGGGCATTGCACCCAGTTGCAGCGGATTGCTCCAGAATATAGCCCACTGCACACATATCGTGGAGACCACTGCACCCAGTTCCAGACCACTGCACCCATACCCTGCAGAGCATTTCATCATGTTGAAACCCACTGCATTGCTCCCAGTTGCACACCACTGCCCCCATACTCTGCAGAGCATCATATCCAGTTACAGATCACGTAACCCATACATTAAAAAAAGTTGCACCCAGCTATTGACTACTGCACCCATACCCTGCAGAGCATTTTGCCAAGTTTTTTTTTTTGCCACTGCTCTCATACCTTGTAGTGCATTGCACCCAGTTGCAGAGGATTGCACCAGAATATAGCCCACTGCATCCCTATCTTGGAGACCATTGCACCTATACCCTGCAGAGCACCAGATTCCAGCACCCAGACCACCCTACATACATCCAGTTACAGCCCACAGAGGATGCACCCCATACCCTGTAGACCACTACATCCCTGCAGTTATAGACCAATGCACCCATGCTCTGCAGAGGATTGCACCAGACCACTACATCCAGTTATAGACCACTGCCTCCATACCCTGCAGAGCATTACGCCAAGTTGTAGCCCACAGAGCTCATACCTTGAAGAGCATTGCACTTAGCTGCAGAGGATTGCACCAGGTTTTAGCCCACTGCCCCCATACCCTGCAGACCACTACACCTATACTCTGCAGAACATTACACCAAGTTATAGCCCACAGAGCTCATACTTTAGGGAGCATTGCGCCAATTTATTGCCCACTACCCCATACCTTACAGATGACTACACCCATACTCTGCAGAGCATTACGACAAGTATTGGAATGCAGCACTCATAGTTTGCAGAGCATTGCACCCAGTTTTTGAGGATTTTACCACGTTATAGCCCACTGCCCCTATACCCTGCAGACCACTACACCATGTTACAAACCACTGCACTCATACTCTGCAGACCATTGCACCCATTTATATCCTGCAGACCAGTGCACCCAGTTACAGACCATACCACCTTCACACCAGGGGCGGACTGACCATTCCAAGACAGTAGGGGGCCCCATGAAATGCCCCTGGTACCTTTTATATGCTTTTTTTGGGTGTGCTTTGAGTATAGGCAAGGACACAGGGGCCCCATGATCCCCTATTGCCCGGGGGCCCCGTGAGTTGTCAGTCCGCCCCTGCTTCACACTGAAGAGCATTTCTATTTGTAATGTACAGCGCTGAGTGAACTGTTGGCACTTTATAAATACTGTATAATAATAATAATAATAATAATACCCAAATGCAAACCACTGCACCCTCCCAGTTGCAGAGCATTGCCCCCCCCCCCCGCGCTCACCTTGTAGTGCGCCAGCTGCAGGTAGTTGTAGGGCGCCCCCCTCAGGAAGATCTTCTCGGTCTCCTGGGTCAGTCGGTAAAGGGACGGTTGCCCCAGCTGCAGCCTCTCACAGCTCAGGAGGCAGTCGGCCCTCTCCAGCACCAGCTCCTCCAGATGGGCCCCCCGGGGCCCGCACTCCTCCCCGCAGCGTAGCCGGGCCCCCCGCACTTCCCTCAGGCTCCGCAGGGCCCCCCAGAGTCGGTCCCGGGCCCCGGACCAGTCTCCCCGGGAGAAAAGGGCCACCCCGTCCATCAGCAGCTCATCGGGGGGCGGCAGGGACAGGCTCTGTGCCAGGGCGAGGGGCAGCAGAATCAGGGGGAACCTCATATTTTTTGGCTGCATGGAGGATCACACAGCAGTCAGAGAGGAGGGAGGAGGATTGGGAGGAGGAGAAACTTCCCAGCTGATGGTTCAGCCTGGGGGGACTAGTCAGGATAGAAAGCTACATTCCAGGCTGGGGGAAGACTGGAGACCTGAATGTTGTCATTGTAAGACCACCTGGAATTGTCGTCACCAAATATGCAAAAGTCCGGCCGGAAATTTCCAGAAAAGTCTTCAACGGAAAAAACGCGGCCTGGATCCCATACTGTACAAGGCCACCCTCCATAGAGAGCTTCCACAACTCTACAGAAGATGAAGTCCCCCTTCCCACCCCATGGGAAGGATTCGGCTTTCTAGGTAGAACTTCATTGGACAATGTTCGTTTTCGGATTGTTCATTCGATTTTCTAACGGTTGTCGGAGATGAATCGAAGGGATGGCAAAAAAATCGAAGGCGAAGAATGGAGAATTTCCATATCTGAACGAGACTTGTCAGCCCCCTATGGGATAACAATGAAGTTAAAGCAGTGATCTCCAAACTGTGGCAGTTTGCTTGCTTTTAATCCTGTCCTTGGGGCAATATTTCATTCTCTGACACCAACTTTGGGGCATAATTCCCCCCCCCCCACTGATACCAACAAAGGGGCACAGTTCCTCCCAATGACACCAATGATGGGGCATGATTCTTCCCACCAAATGGCACCAACGAAGGGGCACAGTTTTTCCCCAGTGACACCAATGATGGGGCATGATTCTTCCCACCAAATTACACCAAGGTAGGGGCACAGTTCTTCCCAGTGACACCAATGATGGAGCATGATTCTTTGCAGCAAATTACACCAACAAAGAGGCACAGTTCTTCCCAGTGACACCAATGATGGGGCATGATTCTTCCCACCAAATGACACCAATGAAGGGGCACAGTTCTTCCCAGTGACACCAACGATGGGGCATGATTCTTCCCACCAAATTACACCAACAAAGGGGCACAGTTCCTCTCAGTAACATCAATGATGGGGCATGATTCTTTTCACCAAATGACACTGATGAAGAGGCATAGCTCCTCCCAATGACACTAACGAAGAGGCACAGCTCCTATCAATGACATCAACGAAGGGGCACAGCTCCTCCCAATGACATCAACGAAAGGACACAGTTTCTCTTATTGACACCAACGATGGGGCACAGTTCCTCCCAATCAGGGGCGGACTGACCATTTGGAAACTCGGGCACTGACCAAGGGCCCGGGGTCAGTGGGGGGCCCCATGAGATGCCCCTTGTACCTTTTTTATAGGCTTTTTTTAGTTTGGGCAAGGACACAGGGGCCTCATGATCCCCTATTGCCAGTCCGCTCCTGGTCCCAGTGACATTAATAATGACACACAGTTCCTCCCAGTGACACCAATAATGGGGCATGATTCTTCCTACCAAATGACACCAACGAAGGGGCAATTACTGGAACCGATCCCCTGTATGGCTTTCTCTGAGCAGCTGAAAGCAAGCAGAAGAAGCCGGCTTTCAGCTGCTGCAGGGAGAGCCATACAGGGGATTGGTTCCAGTAATTCCCCCTTCCGCCATACCAATCACCCTCCCTGCCCACATCCGATTCACCCAGCTGCCTGTGCCCCCCTGCTGGCCTGGGCCCCATACAAGAGGACTGGTGGTACCCCTTTATCCATGGCCCTGGTCACATTCAACTAGACTTGTTCTGTAATGTTGAAAATGTTTCATAGCTTATCCAAATCAGTTCTAACGAATGTCATGAAGATACCCCACATACTGGTTATATCCACACAGGGAGCACAGACCCCTTCATCCAAATGCCATGTAATGTGTCCAGGCAGATGTTGATTGTCCAAGAACAGGATGGTGGGTATGAAAGCTTCTGGAGACATCCTTTGGTGCCTGGATGGTGTAAATCCTTTGGTTTACAGGACGGAAGGTGTGATTTATTATCAATCACTGGTGTAGAGATGTTAAAACATCATTATGTGTGGAAGACAGATTGTGTTGACAGCCCCCACCCTTATTTGGGGTGGTTGTTCAGGTTTGACATAGATGGCCTTCATGCCTCTTGTGAACCAGTTGTCCTCTCTGTTCAAAATGTGCACATCACTGTCCTCGAAAGAATTTCCCTTTTTAAGGTATTGGAAGACTGTTGAGTCCTGTTCTGTAGAACTGGCCCTCCTATGTTGGGCCATTAAGAGGTTCCCTAATGTCCCCAATGTACAGCTATTTGCTTTCCTCGCTACACTGCATTGCACATACCTACTTACCTCTGTTGGGCTTACTTACTTGTGTTGGGTCTGTTGGATGTACAAGCTTCTGTCTCAGTGTGGACTTGAAGGACATGTAAGCAGGTTAAAATGAGCTATTCAGGTGCTGCCCTGGTGGGAGGGTTAACTTAGTACCTCTTTTTGGTGGGGTCTTTTGGTTTGACCCTCTGCTTTTGTGGTTATAAAAAGGGACAGTGGTCCGAGGCCAGAGAGTTCCCTGGAGAGAGTCTGAGAGCTTTGCTGTTGGTCCATCTGCCCTGTGAGGAGTACAGACACTGAAGAGCAAGAGATATGAAACCCATCAACTTGGGGTTCTCTCCAACGACACCAGCTGCTGGAGAATGCCACTGATGGATCTTTTTACACATAGACTCCCAGGGCCGTCTTAATAGCATCATGGGCTCTTGGGCAAAGTATTTCACTGGGGCCCCTACCAGCCTGCCCCAATTTATGCACCTACTTGCAAGAATTAAATTATAAATATTTGATAGAATTAAACATATATTTATTTGTACTTTCAATAAAATTGATTTTAAACAATAAGAAAACATACCATAAATCAAAGACTAATCAACACAATATGCAAAGTATGGGGAGGGGGAGGGGGAGGCAGAAGGGCACAGTACAGGGGGAGTCAGGAGGGCACAGTACAGGGGGAGTCAGGAGGGCACAGTACAGGGGGAGTCAGGAGGGCACAGTACAGGGGGAGTCAGGAGGGCACAATACTGGGATCACGGGGGGAACAGTTCAGGTTCTGGGAGGCTGCCCGGGCCATCCTGGGACAACTTAGTAAAAGGCATGACTGTCCTAGCAAATCCGGGACAGTTGCTAAGTAAAGTATAGGGCAAGATTATCATGGGGTCCCCATGCACCTGGAGCCCCTGGGCAGTGCCCAGAGGTGCCCATGCAATAAGACAGCCCTGTAGACTCTTCCTTTGCAGGTATGCCGGGGAAGCACATGAGTAGGAGTGGGGATAGGGATCATCTGTTGGACTCTGTAATGTTTTCAGTTTGATTCAGTAAAATGTTGAGCTTTGCCTTCTGCCTGGCCTAAAGTAATTTAAAGGAGTGTAATGTGAATAACCAACACCCTGCTACAGTTATGGGCCTCTGGTACATTGGGGTATGAAGACAACACTTAAAGCGTCATCCTAGTGCAGTTCTACATGAGATTTCTATGGGTAACAGAAGTTTACAGTCAGTTAAAGCAGCCAGTTGGTAGCGTGTGCCTGTTACAGGAAACACGGCCTCTAGGGAGAGGTTACCAGCACTCCTTCGGCAGCAGTCTGTCTTCCATGGCAAGTGGAGCATATCGGCCCCACCAAGGTTCCCATCCTGTACAAAGGTGCAGAAGCTCAAGAGTTTCGACAAGTGCATGTATGGAGCCCACACTAGGTGCACAGTGGGGCCCATTCCACTACTGGGAGAAGGGTACTGGAAAACACTGGGCAGGTGGATGTGGACATAGGCTCTGCATGTCCCTCCTAATTGCAAATTACAGTGGGAAGATGTGCATTTGCATGGGGACCTGAGAGTTGACTGAAGAACAGTTATGGTGCACATGTACTTGGTGTACATTTATCTTTAAAAGTAGAGGCCCGCCTTACGGTTGAGTATTCCTCCATGGCAGCCTCAGCCTTGTCCCAGGGCATTGGTTAAAATGGCACAAGGGTACCCCATGTGTAGGAGAGCGATCCTGTTACAGGTGCCAAGCATAGCCCAGGGGAGCCCACCCCAGGGTAGTCCTCTTGTGTGACCCACACTTAGCTCCCAACATGGAGAAGGTGTCATATGTACAGCGGCTGAAGGATTTTTAACATGCATTGCATGCTAGAAGCCTACAAGCTCCAGTGATGTGTATCCAGTTCTCGAAAGAGAGACTACCTAAGCAAGCCATTCAGTTCTCATCCTCGTACGTCTTTGCACTACATAGCTGTTTATCGGTTGGTTGCAGATGGGGTCAGAGCTTGGTTCCCTCCTATTCTTGTTGTACACAGGACCCCTGGGAAATTTAATTGCTGACTTTAGGCACCATCTGGATGCAATGACATTCAGTTTGTATTTTTCTGCTCTCGAACTTTCACCCTCTGTGATAAATTACTCAAAAAACCTGTCCCTCATCTCATTAATGGTCTCTCTAGCTCACCTCCAAATCTGAATGATTGGTTATCCTGCCTTCAGCTAACATTGCTACATGTGAACTTTCTCTTGCTCCATCCTTCACCCCCACATCAAAGCTCTACAAATCTTACCACTTTCAGATGTAAAACATCTCTGATATTCACCGTACCCAACTAATGAATCTGTTGAAATATTCATGTGTCTGCTTATCATTTTCTGTTTCCACTATGGCAATGCTTTACCAACTGGTTTACCAATGACTAGAAAGAGCCTGTCATCAGACCATTCATTTCAACAAAAAAACTCCCATAAGATTTTATGTTTATTCAATGTATTTTTTGCATGTCATTTACCTGTAAAAGCCTCCCTTGTGTGAACATCCTAAAGCCTAGAGATTGCTGCTGAGAGCCGCCATCTTGGATGTGATGTCAGCAGCCCCAGCAGACTCAGAGTTGTCACTCAAGTGATACTCTATATCAGGGGTCTCCAAGCTTTCTAAATGAAGGGCCAGTGTTCTGTCCTTCAAACTTTAGGTGGGACGGACTGTGGCCAGCAGGAGTAGAAAATGTCCTGGAGTCAGTGAGAGTAAACATTGCCACATCTGTGGTATTAGGGGGAAGAATAG